AATGGGTATCACCATACTGCTCACAATTCACGTATTAGCATATCTCATAAACATAAGTTACGCCATCTTATACCCAAACATCATACACCAACACGTATACCTTTCTCCGCACGCTAAGTCAATTGATGATTACTCAACTTTCATTGTTTTATAAATTGTATCTAAGAACTTCCATGTTTAGTTATGAAATTTCATTTTTTTTCGAAAAGGGCAGCTCCCTTCGTTTTAATATAAATATAGGATAAATAACTACTCCTAAATATAGAATTAATAACTACAAAAATTTTCTCTGAAAACATTTATAACCAACACTAAAATATTATTATTTTTTTTTTTGTTGAGAGAGAGATTAAATGGGAGTATATACCTTCCCCTCTTATATGACTATAATGTTTAATTTTAAGTGTAGGGATTAATAATTGAAAAAGTTATAATAATAGAAAGTTGAAAATATAAAATCGAATTTTTTAACATATAAATAGCAAGTTTATTAACTACAAAGACATTATTTAATTTTTTTTTGCTTAAAAAAAAATGGGACTCAAGCATCTATGGTGCGTTAGACCCTTCGGGCTGTTTTTTCAAGTATGCCACTGATTCCAATAGGAGTACCCAATCCAACTTGTAACAAAAAAATTGTTACAGGATATAAAAACTGTAGGAAAATGTCCTACCACAAAGAAAAAGATTGTTGGTATGGTAAGGCATACTATAATAATAAAAAAATTGTTTCCAAAGAAAAAAGAGAAAAGAAATAAAAAAAGTTATTAATGAAAATAATAATAAATAAACTTTTCTATCAAACAATACTTTTTTTTTTATACATCCTATTCAATAAATTTTATTAGATAATTGAAATAACAAAATTAATTAATTAATAATATTATAATACGACTCTAAATTATTTAGATGTACTCCTAAGGTATCATTAAATAACGTATTATTAGTACACTTACATAAAGTTTAAACAAAATTGACATGCGAAAACCAAAATAATATCCTACTAAAAACTATGCGCGTAGACTTACAAAAAAAAAAACTCATAACTCGATCAAAAACGAATAGATTTCAACGGAATTTTTAAACGCTCACGAAGTGCTAAAAAAAAGTATTCATTTTCGTCGTCGTGCTTTTTCATTTAAACATTTTTTTTGATAATCGTACGTCAAGTAATTTCTCCAGTTTTGGCTTATTTTTCAATGTTATATTATAAGATAATCCAAATTTTAATAATAATATTTATTTACTTGTAAAAAAATTAGTTTACTCTTTTAATAATAAATTAATTGCTAGTAACATTCTATGAATACTTTATTTCAAAAATGATATGATCTTTGAGCTACCAATCATTTTTTCCCATCATATTCATAAAAAATCCCACTTGAAATTTAAACCTATGACGTTCAAGGTCTATTAAAAAACTATAAACTAACTATTTATTTCAAATGAAATATGGGCATATTATACACAGTATTCAGCAAGTAAGGCAACAAGTTCCTTTTGTTCTCTTAATTTCTAACAATTGACCTGTTTCGATACTTACTGAACACTCTGTATAGTTGTATCAAGATATTTACAAACTATTCTGTAAACATTTGTGTATAAATTTATATTGCGTAGTTGAATTGTCAGTTACTAAAAATATAGGTGTGTTGATACCTTTTTATATCTTATTTTTCCAAAATATAAATAATATAATTCAATATTTAAAGTTCATAAAAATATTTGTTATGCATTTTATTAAAACTTTTTATGATTATCACCATAATCTCAACTCAACCAAAATGTTCAATTATACGCTAAATTATGTCTCATATTATACATATATAAAATATACGTTACATAACACAATGACAGGGTAAGAGACTTCGGAAAAGTTTAAACTCTCTCAAAAATTATTAAAATATTAATATTATTATTAACATATAATTTTCAATATTATATAAATTTTTAATAATGCTATTGAACCGTAAAAATGTTGACAACCTTACTTCGTGCAAAGGCTTAACGAATTTATTATACAACCGTAATAAATTCTTTATTCTTTAAGACGTCCAAATCATAAAAAAAAAATTGTGTTTTTTTAATATTTATAAAATGTTTAATTTTTAAAAACGGTAATACAGTGGGGTCGCAACACAATGTAAATGTAAGATAGTTGAGACAAATAAAGTTATCTAACAGTGATTAAAATCACTAAGAAACGCTTCGATGCAAATTTGTAGATAGTGTTTATATCTAAGAAATTGGTGCATAATTACAAAAGCAACATCAACTCCTATTTCCTTAATTATATTCTAATTAGTAGTTCTTAGATTAAGAAATATAATTTATGAATAAATATTTATTATTGCAATTATTAATTATTAATAATTAATAACACCACCTGTTTATAAGGAAATGGTTCGATTAAAAAAAAAAATTTCGCATAAAAGAAAAATATAAATAGTACTTCTCGTGAAAAAATTGTATTGATCTATACACTTTTCAAAAAGTTATAGAAGTATAAAGTTAAAAAAAATATATATATAATCGAGAATTTTAACACAAAAATAGCATACGATAGCCACTTTCACCGTGTAGACAAAATAAAGTCAGAAATGTTTTTTTGCCATAATAAAGTATATTACATTAGCTTTAATTTAAGATATATATAGAGTGTCAGTATTTCCGGAACACTTTCAAAAATAAGTTGATAAAGTTAATTTTTTGTAAAAAAATTGGGATTTTGAATGCCACCCCGTGGTCTATTAATGGGCAGATTTATAAAAAAAATATACTAAATTATAGATAAATACCTCAAGTATCTATAAAAAAAAAATTATATAAATTTGATTATTTTAAAAAAGTTATAGTAGTTTTAAGTAAAAAAAAATTTAGAAGATGTCGAAAATTAGCGATTTTTACATTTGAAATATTTTTAGAGATTACCCCATTTACGCAGAATGAGTGAAATTTTTATAATTACTATTTATAGTAAATTGATCAGAAAAACTCAATATATTTTTGTATCTTTATCGTAATAGATCACTTAAATAGAAATCATAATAATTATTTATAGTTGAAACTTATTATCATTTATAAATATTAGAAATTAATGATTTTAATTGTCTGTATGGAAAGTTGATTCAGCAACTTTTTATTTGATAAAGGGAAATTTTTTTCAATTTCTGAGCATAATATCTTTAACTAGATGGTAATTGTGATCATTTGACGTATCTTTAAAAAAAATGATAAAGTAAGAGTTAAGAAAATAAACGACAGCCACAAAAAAAAAACACATTAAAATCATTTTAACTTGAATAAGAAATTCTTCTCATGAGGGGAGACTACAGTAATGGGGTCATTGATATGCATTGTAGTAATTGAATCTAAATGATATAAAAATCAGTCAGCTTGCGCCTAGAATCATTTATCTAAAGAACAAGTCAAACGTAAAACAAAAAGTAATTACGTTTAATTATATAAATATTTATTCACAAAATTGAACAAGTAAGAAACCAAGGAAGCAACTACAATATGCACTTAAAAAATCTTCTTCTTCCTCGCCTTAATCCCAACTACTTGGGGTCGGCCACCCTTATCTCAAAATTCCACTTGACACGATCTCCCATATCATCTACGCTCACATCAGCTGTCCTCATATCGCATTCAATAGCATTCCTCAATCTCTTTTTTGGTCTTCCTCTACCTCTTCATCCTTCCACATTAATTTCTATAAGTGTTCTTATAGCTTCCGATTCTTCTCTCCTCATAACATGACTAAACCATCTAAGCCTATTTTCTCTCATCTTATCCACGATTGACGCTACACCTATACTCCCTCTTATATGCTCGTTCCTTATTCTATCTTTTCTATTCACCCCACTCATCCATTTAAGCATTCTCATTTCTGCTACACTCATTCTCTGCTCTACTTTCTTGTCAATTTCCCAACACTCTGATCCATACATCATAGCTGGTCTCACTACAGTCTTATAGAATTTATCTTTTAGCCTCATTGGAATTTTTTTATCGCATAAGACGCCAGACGCTTCTCTTCACTTCAACCAACCGCACTTAATTCTGTGTCTTACATCCTCATCAATACCACCACTCTATTATACAATTTACCCTAAATAATTGAAACTCTTCACCTCTCCAATCACATCCTCGCCTATTATCACTAACCTCCTCATTTCACCTACCACGTGTTCTCCATTGTGAAACTCGTACTCTATACACTCTGTCTTACTTTTACTTATTCTTAAACCCTTTTCTTCAAGAACTGATTTCCACACCTCTAGCCTTAAATTAATTTTCTCCTATTAACACTATATCGTCAACAAACAACTTGCACCACTCACCTCTTATTGTGTTTCTCTAGTAATTTCATCCATCACTATAGAGAATAAGTAAGGGTTTAAAGCAGAATCTTGGTGCACTCCTACTCATACCCGAAAACCTTCTTATATTTCTCCTACGCTTTTTACCCTGGTACAAGTGTCATAATACATATCTTATATTATATGAATGTACCTTTTCGGGACTCCTTTTCTCATTAATGCCCACTTTAGAACCTCTCTCGGTACTCTATCATACGCTTTCTCAAATCTATAAATACCATACAATGCTTTTTCTTTTTTTCCCAAATTTTTCTATTAGTTGCCTCACAAAAAATACTGGCTCCATTGTTGACTTATCAGGCATAAATCCAAACTGGTTTATAGATACCGATGTCTCATTTCTTATTACCTTTTCCCAAATTTTCATACTAAGACTCATAAGCTTTATGCCTCTATAATTTCCACACTCCTGTATGTCACCTTTACCTTTAAATATCGGCACCACAATATTATTCCTCCATTCATTTGAAATTTTCCCTTCTAATAAGATTTTATTTAAATGTTCCTTGAACCACCTTATGCCAACACCGCCTAATATTTTCGATACTTCTACTGACTAACTATAAAACTATAAGTAGTTTTATAAATTAATAAAATATACACAAAATTTCTAACATTAACATTTTTAATATATAACTGATTTATACATATTATTTTTATTTAATTTTTTAAAAATTACTCCAATTATCATTTCTACTTGATTTTACAAAATGGAACAATGCGAAAATAAAAGTACCTAATTTTTCTTTTAAGTCTACAATATAATTTTTTAAACGATTAGCATATTCAGCTCCTTGTAAATTTTCAAATTTTTTTAAGGACGTTATTTCTAAGTATTCGACGTCATCAAATTTTGTTGAATAATTTAATGAATAATAATAGTTTGTAAAGTTGCATTTTGCCTCTGCTATAATTTTTTCAGTATATTCCGAAGTCACTCTATTCATTTTTATATCATTTAGTAAACGTCTATATAGTTTAGTGGTATAGTTGCCTAAAAAGTAATCAGTTGATTCTAATGGTTTGCATATTTCATTTAAAAATTGTTCATTATTAGAAGATGATAAACTATGATACATTTTTAAATGCATCCATACATACAAAGAAATAGAAGTCCTAATAATGTTGGCAATTAAATTTTGATGTTTAAAAATATCAATATTTTTATTTCCGTACCAGTCACTGACAGGAGTATTCCAAACTGATCCTAATTCTTTTTTAATGTATCTACTGACACCACTCTGTGGATTGTTAATTTTTGGATCTTGTTGAAGTTTGATAACAATTATGTTTGAAATATCAAATTGTTTTGCATGTTTATATACATAAGTCCATTCATCACTTCCATTCAACAATTTCACATTAAATAAACTTGCCCCAATAATTTTTTCCACAGGGTAATATAATGAAAATATACTTAAATTAGGTTTTACGATATTTAAGTCATTACAAGACATAGAAAATTTATCTATAGATTTTCTTAATCCCCTTGTCATGTTAAACTTTTCAGCAAAATTCGTAAAGGTTTTCCTTTTTATAGCGTTTAACATCAAATAAAAGTCCCATATCCACGAAGATGCATTAATTTTGGCCACGTATAACAATGAAAACATTTTGGTGATATAATATTTAAACTTACTTATAACTGACATGTTTTGATTGTCAACAGATGTTTGCACTTCTATCAATTTGCTAACATACTCAAACATGACTTGTACAATTATCCCATAATTACATTTTAGTTCTTGAATTCTATTACTATAAACTTTTAATGAGGATTCTAATATTGTAGATTCGTTGGATATGTTTTCGATTTGTTTTATTGACAATCTAGGAGAACTGAATTCCATTTTATTGAGTAAAATCAACCAGTTTTTATCATACTTAACAGTATTATTTATCTAAAAAATCATTAACACTTAGTATTTTCTTATTTTTTAACTTGAAAAAGAATTTCAACATTTTTGAAAGTAGTAAAATAAATAAATATAAATAAGTATTTTAAAGTCATATCAATGCAACTTTCTCAACAAGACGAAAATTTTAAACATTTTAATTTAAATAAAATCTATTGATGAATACGTAAAAGTTAAAATACAATATTATTATTTATGTGTTATTTAATTGTAGTAAAAAAACTGTGCAAGTAAAAAAATTCACACTTTAAATAAAAATTTTAAATTTTGCAATTATTAACAATAAGAATTTAAATGAATACCTTTAAAGGAACACATTCAGTATTACCTGAGGATTGGTATAATGCGATAAGCATAATATTAATTAATCTAAACATTATTGGAATTTATTTGTAAAAAAATTATAATGCAGTAAAATAATAATAATTTGTTAAAATGTATTGCATTTATACTTATAATAGACAAGTATAAAAAATGATTTTTTTTACTTTTATAAAAAAAATTATTTTTCTAAGGTACTTAAAAAACAAATGTGTAAATATTTATTAATAATAAAAATTTTAAAACCAAAGTTTCCAAGTCTATTTTTTATACATTTTTTAATTTCAAGGCATATTTAGCAAACAGTATAAAGTGTAATATTGTCATAAAAAAATATTTATAGAATATAATACTTATACATTATTTTTTTTTAACTAATTATCACCATAACAATATTGATTAATATAAAACAATTTAATACCTAGAATTCCCATTTTATACAAATACTATACTATTTTAAATAATAGGTAAAATTTGCTGTTAGAATGTAAAAAAATTAAATTAGTCTACCTTGTAAAATTGATTAGGCATATTTGTACGAACAGATAGTATTTTTCTGTTAATAATATAATTCTAAGAACTATGATTTTTATTAGTACGAGTTCAATGATTTCAATGATATATTTGATATGATTTCAAAATTAGCTATGTTTTTAAAAAACTAATATAGAGTTAATAGTTTAAAAATATCAAAAATAAACATCATTAAAGATATTATTAAAATTAGTTTATTTACAGATGAGGCTAAACGCTCAATTAAATTACTATTAACAGGCGCTCGAACACCGTTTTTAATGCATACTACGTGTAAAAAGACGATAAAAAATCTATAGTGACATGACTACACAGGTACCTCCAAATAGAAATTTCGAAAAAGTCGGACGGCAATGCGAACACATCGCAGCGGACAGGCAATATGTCAGTAGTTGATATAAGGTAAAGTGTACAGTTATTGACAAATTTTAACTATTTTATTATTACAAATAGGTGTGTTGGTTCTTAAAATTAATTAATTTTCATAATAATTAGATTATTAGACCATTCGCTTTAAAATTTTACCAAAAATTTCATTTTAACTCGACTTTGAAAACCAATGGCTGTATTTTAAAAACAAATTCTAAAAATCTACTATTTAAAATAAAGTATTATTCTTACACGGATCAGAGTTCTAATAAAATTTTTGACTTATAAATTCTAGTAAGAAACATTTCATTTGTGTAACTAAATAAATATACTAATTAAAATCTAGGTAATGTCCTTAAGGTGCCAATAATTGTACATTTTACCCTGTTGATAATATACGGGTAGCTCTTAATTTGAATTTAATGGAGGTAGGACGGTCGTTGTCATGCGACAACGAAGCGAAAACGCTGCAGCGCACGCGCAATGGCTTATGTTTCGGTAGTTATTATTGATAATCTACAAGTATAGATGATATACAAGTATAGATGATATTTGACAGTGATTAAAATCACTATCATAAGAAACGCTTCGATGCAAATCTGTAGATGGTGTTTCATTTAGAGAAATTGGTGGATTATTCCAAAAGCAACATCAACTCTTATTTCTTTGATTATATCCTAATTAGTAGTTCTTTGATTTTAAAATATAATACATGAATAAAAACTAATTATAATTATTAAATTTAGTATGAAATTGATATTCAATAATTTAATATTGTAATTTAAACGGAGAAATTATAAAATTAATAAAGAAGTTGTATTTTGCTTTATTTTTACGTGTATAAAAATTTAAAGGGCTTGATACAATAAATTTCAATAAAAACTGATTGTTACTATAAATAAATGCACTGAACTACAAGGAGCTTTCATTAGTAACAAAAATATACCATTCTAAATCAACTTTTCGCGATGTTTTCAAATCTGCAATTAGACTTTTTCTATCACTTCTAAGTTTTAATATTATTAAAAATTAGTATTTACATATAAAAAATTCGCATCGAAGCTAAAAAATTGGCTATTTAAGCTAACTCAAATTTAAAAAACCAAGCACAGTGGGGTCGCGGCATAGTGGAGACGTTGCATAGTTGGGTCCAGTATAGATTTAATCTGACAGTGATTAAAATCACTATCATAAGAAACGCTTCGATGCAAATCTGTAGATAGTGTTTAATTTTAAAAAATTGATGGATAATTGCAAAAGCAACATCAACTTCTATTAAAATAAAATACAAAACCCATAATTATCATACAAAAATAGNGCGTTTAAAAAGATTCTACAATAAAAATATTCAGAATTGAATTAATTTATATATTAATTTTATATATCTAAAAAAATCAATAAAAAAAAAATTATTCAATTTAGCCTATTATAAAAATAATAATTATAAAAAAATAGTGTATTGCCCTTATAAGATAGTTTTAAATAAAATAAAATACAAAACCCAGGATTTTAACACAAAAATAGCATATTTTTTAATACGGTAGCCATTTGCGCATAAAAGATAAGTCGTCAGGACAAATTTTTTTTTTTTATTTTATAGTACATAAAATAAGTTTTAATTTTATATATATTTAAAGGACGCAGTATTTCCGGAACACTTTCAAAAGTTAAGTTGAAAAAGTTTTATTTTTTATACAATGTTTCAAGTTTTGAACGCCCCCTATATAAGGGGAAATTGTCCAATTTTAATAAAAAGTATGTCAAATGAAAGATGTACTTATAATGTATTTAGAAAAAAAAAAATTGTGCTGATACATGCATTTTTCGAAAAGTTATAGCATTTTTAAGTTGAAAATTAAAAATTGAAAATCGAAAATTTTAACACAAAAATAGCGTTTTTTATACTACGGCAGCCGTTTGCATGCAGAAGATAAAGTGTCGGGACAAATTTTTTTTTTCATTTTATAGTACTTAAAATAAGCTTTAATTTGATATATGTTTAAAGGACGCAGTATTTCCGGAACATTTTCAAAAATTAAGTTGAAAAAGTTAGTTTTTGTAAAAAAGTTGCTATTTTAAATCCCCCCCAATGAGCAGGTTAAGTGTTAGATATTCAAAAAAATGATATCAAATGAAAGGGAAATATCTAAGGTTTTAGTATAAAAAAAAATTATGTTGATTTGTTTATTTTTAAAAAAGTTATGGAAGTTTTAAGAAAAAAAAGTGAAAAAATTTCGAAAATNAAGTTATCTAAGTTTTAAGAAAAAAAAGTGCAAAAAAATGACAAAATTTACCGATTTTTAAATTTGTAATTTTTTTGGATATCTCCCCCATTTGCGGGGAACGAGGGAAAAATTTTCAATTTTTAAGGGTAATGTCTTCAACTAGATACGATTTGTGATCTTTTGACGTATTGTTAAAAGAAATCGGTCCAGTGAGAGCTGAGAAAAAGTGGCGACATAAAAAAAAAAAAAACACATCATGGTAAAATTAATACCTTCTCAGCTTCGCATCGAAGCTAATATTTGTTTCTATAATATTGTATCGTATACATTCATTAGCTCAATTAGAATAAAATTTTCAGGGGTACTAAATTAATTTTTCCTCTATCATAAAATATTTTTATACTACACTATATACATATATTAAAAAGCTTTTATTGTGTAAATATATAGTTGAACAATTAAATTAAAACGATATACATGACTATAACAATTATTGAAGTAAAAAACAATCAGAAAAACAAAATTAATTGAGTAATAACAACAAAATAACATTCATAAACGCTTAGATATAGCATAATAATATCTATATTTATAAATTAAATGTAAATTGTTAAAACATGACTTGAGCTGAAGAGTGAATGATAATAGAAAATGAATAAAAGATTTATTTTGAGAACTGTGGATTAATAAGGGAGTAAGAATATGTATGTCATGCAATGAAAAAAAAATTATTTAACGATGCTCTATTGGTAGACAGGGTGTCTATGACAGGCAATTAAGGAATCAATCAAAGAAGTCACCAATTATTATTTTCTCGTGGAATGTGCAATAAGGAGAAGAATAAAGAGAAAGTATGAAAATATGGGCTAAAAGTAAAATTATGATCGAATCTAAGATACAAAATATATGGTTGTGGGGTTTCGTGGATTTAGGAATCTATACCAGGCGACAATATTAAGAGGCAAGATAGACCATTTGGATTATCAAGCAATGTGAATAAATTTGTGAAAAATATACAGAAATTCAGTAAATGGAACAAGACTAGTTATGGGAGATAAAGACTTTTAGATCTAAATGACCAGGAGGTTGGCAATATCACATGACATAATGAATGTTTATCCAATAGCATGAATTTTATGCTAACAATATTAGCAATATTAATATTTTATATATACTTTATTTACTTTATTAAATAAGATAATTAACCATAACTAATATATATTTTTTAATAATTTTTCAGTGCAAAGCATGGATTTTTGAGCTGTGTATACACTTCTAGTAAGATAAAGTGCGGATTAAAAGAAGCAGTTTTTATACAAAAAATTGCTGATACTTTATCTGATAATAAATTAGTATCACCTGTATGCCGTCACATTAGGTTAGGCCATTGCAGTAGTTCTTCTCATATACAATATACAATTTTAATTATAACATTTAGCTTATTAATAATTATTTTAAATAATAAAACATGAAAAATTTATATAAAAATAATACAGCATAATTTATTCTTAAATTATTTTACAAATGGGTATAATTGTAAGTTTCTTTTTAAAAAATATACATTTTACATATTACACAATACAATAGATGTTTAAGAAATAATTTTTTATTTATGCATTATGATTTTTACCAACTGGTAATAATTGAAATTCATCTTGACCTTTATAATTTTTATTTACTCCTATCAATAATGCTGCAAGCCCATACAACAGCGACAAGAATATAGCTAATGATTGAACAATTACGTAGTGTGATATTGACATTCCAATATCCAGCCAACTACCAGTATTTTTAATGAAAAATAAAAAGTGAAGACCCATAACATTTGACAAAGCCAACATCAAAGAAAATACGTTTGAAGGTGGTATCTAAATTGAAACAAATTAAACTTTTTAAATTATTCATATCAAAATTTAAATTTTTAATGAAAAAATTTTTATTTTTCTTACAAACCTTTAATTTGACACAAGTTATGTAAAATGTACAACAAGTCAACATAATTGGTACTATAATTTTAAACAGAACTAACCCAAATATAGTAAATGGTGAAAATACTGAAACAAAACACTGTCCAATTGATGGATCAAATGAATTAATGGATGCTATATTACCAGTACCAAAAAAAGATCCAAAACTAAACAACAGCTAAAATTTCAAATTTCAAATTAGAATTTAGAAATTAATTTATTTGTAGTTGTACTCACAAAGAAAAATGCACAACTCCATTGAGTTCTCAGAGAATTTGTTGAGTTATTTGATCTTAATATAATTTTTCTCCAACATGCTAAAGTAACAGTTAATACTAATATAAAAACTACTTCCATATTTATTGACAACTGAATATAAGTTACACTTAATGAGATGAATAAAGATGTAACATTATTTATTAAATCTTGTGATTTTCTATAGATACATACTGCTACAACTGTAAAAAGTATATTAAAAAGATCACTTAAGTTAGATTAATTAATAATTATTTTCCTAATAGTAAGAAACTACTTGATATTGCCCAAGATAAAATTTGATTGTAAAAGTTTAATCCCAATTTATTATCTATACTATTTGAGACTATCGAGACATTTAGTATGGCAATCCCTAGTAGAGCAACTTGAGTAAAAGCAAACATTTTATATAATCCTCTTTTGTTTTTTGCATGCATTAAGCCAGCCAATAACCAAACAACTCCACCTAATATACTAAAAATAACTTTAAGTTAATGTTAAATACATATCATCTTATAACCATTTAATTACACATTCATAATGTTTTTATGTCCATCAATCACCAAAATCATAGGAAAACTTGAAAACCATGCTGATGAAAGAAAAATGATTACTATTTTATCCAGAGAAAATCCATATTTAAATGAGCTATATGTCATCCATAAGGAATTAATCAATAATGCTAAGCTTAATAAACATCGTTCAAAGAAGGTCCATACCTGATTATAAAATTTATTTATATTTCTAATTAAATCAAAAAGAATTGTTTAAATATATCTCACCAATAATTCAATTCCAATAAAATATAATAACATTTCAACAAATATGTTTTTATCAATTTCAAATATAAGTTTTGAAAGTTTTACTAAACTAATTTTTCTCAAAAGTTTAAAAATACATATCCACCATACAATTAATGGCAAAAATGAATAAACATAAAATTGCAAAGGCAGAGATTGAGCTAAAATTAAATAACAAATTTATGTGACTAGCTACTAGGAGTACTATTGTAAAAATTATATTTATTTTTCAAATAACTACTGTAATAACAAAATATATTGAATTATCCTTTCATTTTTTATTAAAGTTCAACTATTTAGTATACTGAGATTCTTAATCAAGATATAAAATTTTTAATAGTAGTTATTTCAAAAATAGTAATAAAAATTCCATTATTCTGTTACAACAAGTACTAGTTAAAAAATTATTATAAAACACTTACCATAAATAAATATGGTACACAGTATAGCCATTAAAAGAAATGATAGACTAACTATTATTATAGTTGTATTATTTTTATTTCTGTATGAACGTGTGTTAATAGTTTCTATTATAAGTAAAGTAATCCAGCCAAAACTAATTAAGGTTACACATAAAAGAAGTGGTAGCTTGAAGTATGTATTATAGTAATCAATGCCATTTAAGCTAAGATCTATCCATTCATAACATAACTTTATCTGATTAAAAAAAAATTTAATTTTAATAATTTATAATAAATTTAACAAAACAAAATACTTACACAATCATCAAATTTTGATTCATTTAAAAGCACAGTAATTTCATCAAGATAATTTTTTTGAATTTTTTGGTGAAGAGGTTTAAATGGAACATAAAACCATTGAAAAGATTGTTTTTCAATTTGTTCACGTATAGTTGAAAAAGCTGCATTTAACTGAAAAGCATTGACTAACAAATATTTTGCTTTTTCATTTATATCAGTTGAAAATAATTCTAGAGGTAAAACACCCTAAAAAGAATAATAAACAATTATTACTTCGTAAAAATAATTTTAACTACTAATATTAATTTTACCACTGAATTCACTGGAATAGGAACTCCAATTATGGTAGCCATCAATGGGGCAATATCAATTTGTTTAATATTTAGTTTTAACGAATTAATTTGATTGGAAACTTTAGACAATCCTGCTCCCCAAGTAACAAATGGCACTTCAGTTTCACTAATTGATCCATCTCCATGTGAACCTTCAGATAAATAATATATATTTAATTGTACAGAGTATGGCTTAAGTATTTATATTTTTGGACGTGGAATAACTCATTAAATAATGAACTAAATTTCAACTTTTACATACACAAAGATCTTCAATTTATTGGTTGACATTTATATCTAGTATTTGACTACCTCTAAAGTTTTGGCAGACAGTTATTCCCTCATTAGAATTTATAATCACTCAGCCAAAGACTCTATAATTTCATTCATCAATTTTTAATTTACGTTTTAAATTCAAGAATGATTTATAGTCTGTTCATATAAATTTTCAATTTAACACATCCCAAAAAAAAAAATTCTAAAAGAGTCAGATTTTAAGAAATAGAATGTATAATCAATAAAATTTAAAAAAAGTCCATGATCAAGTGATCATAAAATTTAACAAGTAGATAATTGTCTACTGAAATTCTAGAGATGGTGAATATGATAAATGTAAATTTACACTAAAACTCAAAATCTTTGTAAATGTATATAAAAAGAAAAATTGAAATTTAGTTCATTATTCTCTGAGCTATCTTACTTTGAAAAATTTAATTACTTATACCATACCCCTATATAATTAACAAAATTAGAATAGAAAAAAAATTGTCTTTTACCCCAATCAGTCATTCCATGATCAGAAGTAAAAATATATGCTGTACGATTATCATTATAGAAAGTTTCTAATATATCTACTGTGTCTTTTATACCATTTTCTATAACTTTTAAATTTTCTAAATATTCCCTAAAAATAATTAAAATTATTAGATATTATATTTGAAGGCAACTGAAGAATGTTTTATAATATATAAAATAATACAAATAATCAAAAAGNGATATTATATTTGAAGGCAACTGAAGAATGTTTTATAATATATAAAATAATACAAATAATCAAAAAGTCAATAAAGTTTTTTTTTACTTAAAAAAATATATTATAGAAATATTATATTTACTAGTAGCTATATCTTTTCTTTAGAGTTTATTTCTTTGACTAATATAGCAAAAAGAAAAATGTCATACATTACAAAACCTAGCATAAAAAAAAATTGCTTCTAATAGGCCTTTTAGCCTATTCTGATAACATTTAGTCACTAATATATTACAATTTTTTTATAATTTTTAATTCATAAAAATATTTTATTAATTAGAGATTTGTAAAATTGAATTTTAAATTTCTTTTAACTGGTACTACCTTATTTTAGAAGGGTTAATCATTTTTAAGATATAAAATCATATCTAGTAACTGACTTTTTTCTAAATTAAAATAGGCCAAGAAGTTAATATAGATCATTGATACATTGAGAATAAAATTTTTGGAGATGTTAAATTAATTTCCTCAATCCTAAAATTTTTTCATGTAACTATATCATTTATAAAATGTTAAGGTGCAAACTTATAGTCTGATGGGCTTAGTCCTCCTTGTTGTGCCTGTGATATGGATAAATGTTTTAAAAAAATTAATTTAAAAAATAAAAATTTTACTCAGTAATGATTGTTTTTAATTTTAGTATTATTGTACATCTATGTGATTTAAAGTAAATTATTTACTTAAACATTGATAAATCAAGAGTATTCAGTAGTATATTAGTCAATAGTATTATATATTTTTAAATAATTAACCAATTTAATGATTTTTATAATGACAAAAGAATGTCATGCATAATTATAATTGTTAACTCTGAACCTAATTTTATATCCATATATATTTTATATATAATACCCATATTTTTTTTTAGTTTGAATAGCCGAAAGACTATAACTTTTATTTGGAATTATGGTAAAAATTATTATATTTTTTGATCCAGAAAATTTGGGAAGAAATCAAATAAATTAAAAAGCTATAAGAATATTTACTTAAGTTGTATTTTCAACAATATTTTATATTAGTTTTTGTCAGGATATAATAATACAAAAAAAAAAACCCTAAAATGAATATCTTTACAGTTTTATCTAAGAAATTATTAGCAATAAAGTATACATTTAATAATATTTAATTATAATTATTTACTTAGAATGTGGTTTATCTATATGTCCTGAAATATCAGTGCCCAATAAGTGTAGAAATAAAATCAATTTTCTTTTCTTAAGCATATTATGTATTGAATGATTCACTTTAGAAGTTTCAAAATATAATTTTACTTTATCAAAAACCCATTTAGAAAGTAAAGCACTAGAACCATTTTTTCCAGTGAAATCTTGTAAATTAGGTTCATAATAATAAGTTATAACATTTCCTACATTTGATCCTATAATGAAAAATATATATTTTCATTTTTAAATTATTATTCATTAATTTAATATTTACCTTTTTGAAAAATTGAAACTATATCAGGACTACCCCATGAAATTGTTAAATCACTTTTATTAAAAACAGAATCAAAATTAACTATGTTCTCTTTCCAACCCTGAAATTGATTAAATTTCTTTAAAACTATAAATTGATTAAAACCTTTATAATATTAAAAAATATTATTAATACTGTAAGTAGATAATACTTTAAAAATAGCAGATGGATCTTCATAAAATCCTGCAATAAGGGCAATGTGACCTGGACGAGATTCAGTAGGTACCCTAGTGTGACAAAATCCATAAGAAGCACCAACATGAAATATATTTCTAATTGATAAATAAAATTTATTAAGTATTTTTATTTGTATATTTCTATAGGAATACTATGTGTACTTAAAAAATGTGCTATGTCCATTTTCGACATGATCATAAAATGTGTCAGCTCTCAAACCATCAGCAATAAAAAGTACTAAACGATCAGCAGGCGGTTCATACAAAACATATTGATCAGGTATACCATTTATAATTGGTGACTTGAAATATATATCGAATATTGAAACTAATAAAGATATTTGAATAATAAATCCCAAAATTGATATTTTTAAGTTCAACATCATTTGATAGTATTTTGACAAAATACATATTACTTTAAGTAACGCTTATGATTTTTAGCCAAAACCATTTTTTTTTATATTTATCTTGTAATTACTGATAATTATTCATCAGGTGCTCATCAAAAATATAAACGGACACAGTTTTCAATTCCAAATTTTGTTATCATAATAACAAATATTATCATCGGGAAACAACAAAACATCAACATCGAGTATAGTGATAGTAGTTGTCATAATAATAAATAAGTTGTAATTCTTAACAGGTAGTAAATAGATAAGTAAATGAATTTAAGTAAATTTGTTTGTAAATAATTTTAATTAAGAAGTTAAAAAAACGTTGCTCTTATAACGCTTTTAAAATGACTAGTCATAATCCTGAAACATTATCCTCAGTTTTGGAAAATTCGGAGTCATTTGATAGTGGTATTAAAAGTTTCTCCAGATCTCCATCATTGACTTCCTTTGATAGATGGCCACTTTTTTTCTCTTCATCTAGGAGATCAAAATTTGAGCAAAAGCTGACCAAAAGTAAGTGTTTAGTTTAAACATATTAAATTCTATTTATTGTAGATACTTAGTCTGAGTTTTTATTTTTAATCTCAATTATGATAAAAATAAATTCAGGCCTAAGTATAATTTGTTGACAAAGTAAAATTATATGTAGTACAAACTAATTATTTTGAACTTGAATTTTAATATTTACATTAATTAATAGTATTTTAATGGAATTACTTAAAAAAATGATTTTTAAATCTTCAATATGTTTAGCCAAATAAATTAATAAAACAATAAAAAAAATATTGTAATTTTTAATCTAACTAAAAATCAGAAATCTAGAAATTTAAAATATCTAAAATTAAATTGTTATAAAATGTATGTAAGTTATTTGGCTACAATTGACTTAGTGCTATCTGAAGTAACATAATCTACTATTTATGTTTGTATATTCTTATTAAACATTTAAATACATCTTCAAGCAAAAATAATTTGTACTTACTAAACAAATTTTTTCTATAATATATTTTTAAACATTTTAAATTGAAATTACAAGTTATCTTATGTCTACTTCTAATTAGTTTTTTAAAACTTGGGCTTAATTAAAAAAGATTTACTTCAAATTTTTAAATTGATTACTTATGATATAGTTGTTAATCTCAAAAACATTCCTTAAACATATTAGTTTTATTAAAGTTATTCATTTATTAGAACCCTGAATATCACTTAATTATTTATTAGGTCATTTAGAAAAATAATTTTAGATTATAAATATATATATAAAATCTAAAATAAAAGAAATGAATTAATATTTTTTTTTTTAATGTGCTTACATATGTCAATAAACAAAAATTTCAAGAAAAATATCATCTATGTCATAATAAAATCATAATTTTCTACTGTTCTTTATAAATTTTTTATCAGGTGAGAAATTTCTTTTGAAAAATTTTTGAAATGTTTTTTTGTAATATCCTATAATTAGTGCATGGTCTAGGAATGCAATTTATAAAATAGACGTAATTTCAAAATTCATTTAAAATCAAAAAAAAGATGTATTTGTTGGCATTGTATTTTTATTGAATGTAATGATCATAATAAGGTTTAGTTGTGCCCCTGGTAAATCAATAGAGATGCACTTATTTTAAAAAATAAAATTGTAATATAGTAATTACCAAAGAAAAATAATGTTTATTTGTACTTAATTTATTAGTGTATATAATTGGACTATTATTTGTTTAAGCGGTAAATAAACTTTAGGAGAAGCTTATAATACTATACCAACTACTGATACATTCCAATATATAAAATTGAACTTAGCGCTATATTATTCAATTAGTCATCTAATTGTATGATAATTTATATATTGTCCTTCTCCTATTTTTAATCAATATTGCTACTAAATTTGTTTTAATTTAACTACAAATAGCTATCTACTCTTACTAGCGCCAAAATTTACCCACTGTAAATAGTAATAATTTGCAGATCGTGGGAAGTTATATCCCTTCCGGCTCCATGTGTACACTACTAAAATTATTTACTGTATTTATTAATTAAATACTGTTTTATTCTCCCAATACCATAGTAAAATGTTTCATGATTACTTTTTTCCTTTATGGTAAAAAAAAAATTAGATTTAATACGTTGGATTGGGTCATGATCTTCATATTGCAATGTGTCAATATTTGTATTTTGTCGATTCTTCATTTTTCTATGTTTGTTACCACATATTCTCAGCTCGCACTACACCCATTTTAATGACCAATACGCCAAAAGAACCGGACTTTAATCTAGTTGAACCAGTAATCACTAAATATTTTTAAAAACCTTAATTTTAGAAATTTAGACAAATATCTCAAAATTACGCTACTGTAAAAAAGGCGACATTAAAAAAAATGTTCTGCATTTTAAAACTGTCACAACTTCTTTTTAAAAACGCTGATCCTAATGTAATTAAAAATTTTTTAGAGTATCCTAAATAAGCATTCATGCCAATTCATTGAAAACCTTCAGTACAAGAATGGTTTGAAAAGACCACCCACGCATGTTGAAATTATTTTTTTTCAACAAAAGCTTTAGAAATGATCCAAAACAATTGCATTCTCAAAGTCATATCAAATTAAAGCTTTTGAAATGCAATATAAGATTAAAAACGGTAGCACAGTGGTGTCATGACCAGTATGGACGTGGCATAGTTGGAACATGTATAGATGATATCTGACAGTGATTAAAATCACTATCACAAGAAACGTTTCGATGCAACTCTGTAGATAGTGTTCAATTTTAAGAAATTGGTAGATTATACCAATGAATTCCTATTTTCTTTATTATTTCTGATTAGTAGTTTTAGCTTCTATTCGAAGCTGAGAAGGTATTAATTTTACTATAATGTATATTTTTTTGTGTCTGTATCCACTTTCTCAGCTCTCACCGAACCGATTTCTTTCAAAGATATGTTAATAGATCACAAATTATATCTAGCCGAAGACATTATCTTCAAAAATTGAAAAAATTTCCCTCGATTCCCGTAAATCGGGGAAATCTCCAAACAAATTACAAATTTAAAAAAATCGGTATTCTTTGACATTTTTTCACTTTATTTTACTAAAAACTTTTTTTATTTAACTTTTTGAAAAATGTATGGATCAATACAATTTTTTTTTATATAGATACAAGAGGTATTTACTTAACATTTGGTATATATTTCTTTTAATTTGACCTTTCTTAAGACATTTACACATATATTAAATAAAATCATATGTAATTTACTTTAAAAATAAAAAAAAAATTCGAACTTTACATTATCTTTACGGTGGAAATGGCTACCGTATTCAAATTGAAATATTGAAATTCTCGATTTTATATTTTTATCTTTATATTTCTATAATTTTTTGAAAAATGTATGGATCAAAACGATTTTTTTTTTTTAATATTATATATAAACACCGTTTATCTGACATCTTTTTTTTTTATTGGATCTGTGGCGGTCGAATATTCTAGAATGTCCGGCCGCCGCCGCCTCTAGAAGATTCGTCGCTCTACATAAGCGTGTGGCGGTCGAATGTCTAGAGAGTTCCGACGCCGCCTCTAGAAGATTCCTCTGACTATTTAAGGGCAAGATCGTCGCTCCAGTCAGTCAGTCGATCAGTCAATCACTTACGCATTCTGTCTTACACGCGCTTCGTTTCTCGCTGTTATTTATTAGTTCGTTGTAATACAGTTCGTCTCTCGCTGTTATTTGTTATTTGTTAGTTCGTTGTAATATAGTATAGTTGTTATTAAATCGTAAAAGTGTTTATTACTTCTATACATTACACCTCGCTACATTGGTGACCTCGACGATAACAAGTATGAACGCCGAAGAACTACGCAATCAATTGGAGGAGTTACGCCAAGAAAACGCTCGCCTTGCAGCACTACAGGCACAGCAATATCCAACAGCTTCAGTGAATCGCGTTGCCGTCAAGTTGCCACCTTTCTGGTCCGAAAGACCGAGCTTATGGTTCTCACAGGTTGACTCGCAGTTTGCAATCTCGGGAATAACAAGTGAGGAAACAAAATTTAATTATGTTGTGGCTCAGCTTGATACGCGTTACGCCGCCGAAGTAGAGGATATTATTACTAACCCACCGCCTACTGAACGCTACAAACATCTACGCGCAAAACTCGTTGAACGGTTGTCTATCTCAGAAGAACAACGTGTGCGGCAACTCATCAATGAAGAAGAACTAGGTGACCGTAAGCCATCACAGTTCTTACGACATCTCCGTTCCCTTGCCGGCACTACTACATTACAAGACAATATTTTACGTCAACTTTGGCTCCGCCGTCTACCATCACATGCACAAGCTATTTTAACCGCACAATCAGAGCTTCCTCTGGATAAGGTAGCCGAGCTGGCTGACAAAATTGTTGAAGTGCAGCCAGCCCCCTCGCAATTCGTCCATGCTGTTGCCACGACGAACAATAAAAAGGAACTCGATGTTTTAGCCGCCATTGAAGCACTCGCAAAACAGGTAAGCGAATTATGTGCTAAACGCCCGCAACGTTCCCGCTCTAGGTCACGTAACCGTTCAAACGTGGAACTGACTAACGGCAAAGGATGGTGTTGGTATCATAGCACTTATGGAGAAAAGGCTGCCAAATGTAAGGCTCCCTGCAAGTATCAGGAAAACTCCAACGACAGTCAGTAGCGGCGGCAACAGACTGTCCGAACCCGAGCAGCCGCCTGTTTGTTACAGATCAAATAACAAAACGCCAATTTTTAGTCGACTCTGGTTCCGACTTATCTTGTTACCCTCAACGGCTACTACGGGAACGACGCCATGCCACCGATTACGACCTCAGCGCGGCCAACAACAGTACCATAAAAACTTACGGGACGGTCCATCTCAATTTGAATTTAGGACTTCGACGCAGTTTCCCGTGGAGTTTTATTGTCGCCGACGTGAGTACTCCTATCATTGGTTCCGACTTCATGGCATACTACCACTTGCTGCCGGATTGCCGTACCAAACGTCTTATTGATGGTGTCACAGGCTTGGCTGTGAATGGTAAGGTTTCCTCTGTAAATCAATGCAGCATAAAATCAGTTGCCAACACTTCCCCTTGGGCTGCACTTCTCGCAGAATTTCCGGACATCACACGTCCCACCGGATTGCCCAGGACAATAAAACATCAAACAGTGCACCACATTCTTACGACACCTGGTCAGCCAATAGCCTGCCGCCCACGCCGCTTAGCTCCAGGTAGACTAAAAATCGCCAAACAGGAATTCGCGGAAATGGTCAAGGCAGGTACCGCTAGACCTTCAAGCAGTCCGTGGTCTTCACCATTACATTTAGCACCGAAAGGGGAGAACAGCTGGCGTCCTTGCGGTGATTACCGCGCGCTGAACGCCCGAACTATACCAGACTCCTATCCAGTCAGACACATACATGATTTCTCGCACAACCTGGCTAATTGCACGCTATTTTCCACAATCGATCTGGTAAAGGCTTACCATCAAATACCTGTTAATCCGGACGATATATGCAAAACAGCCATTACCACTCCATTCGGACTTTACGAATTTCCTTTTATGACATTCGGATTGCGAAATGCTGGACAAACTTTTCAACGCTTCATAGACGAAGTTACCAATGGGTTGGACTTCTGTTATGCATATATTGATGACATTTTGGTATTCTCTAAATCGGAAGAGGACCACAAACAGCATTTACGCACTCTTTTCGGGAGACTTTCTGACTACGGTGTTGTCGTTAACCCGCAAAAATGTGTATTAGGTTCGGCTGAGGTGAAATTTCTAGGTTACCTAGTATCTTCTGAAGGCACCCGCCCGCCACCGGAACGCGTCGAAGCCCTACGACAGTATCCATTGCCAAAATCTATGCAAGGATTACGCCGGTTTTTGGGAATGGTAAATTTTTATCGCCGGTTTATTCCCAAAGCTGCCGACCTGCAAGCACCACTTCACGGTATTCTCAAAGGCCCGAAGACAAAAGGTTCCCAACCGATAGAATGGACTCCCGAGTTAGAAAAAGCGTTCACCACATGCAAAGAAAGTCTTGCGACCGCTACTCTTTTAGCACATCCTCATCCAGCCGCACGACTTGGACTATTCACAGACGCATCTAGCCAATCTATCGGCGCATGTCTGCAGCAGCGAGTCAATAACATCTGGCAACCCATAGCATTTTTTTCAAAGAAAATGTCGGTGAAACAAAGTGCGTGGCCTGCGTATTATCGTGAGTTGCTTGCCATCTATGAATCGGTGAAGTATTTCAGGCACATTGTCGAAGCACAACCATGTACCATTTTCACCGATCATAAGCCACTCGTATATGCTTTCACCCAACGGAGAGAAAAGATACCTCCTACGCAACTCAACCAGTTGACATTCATATCCGAATTCACCACCGACATTCAACACATTAAAGGTGATGAAAATATCGTCGCGGATACAATGTCACGCATTGAAGTTGTGTCTCTCCCGCTGGACTACCGAGCTCTTGCTGCATCTCAAGACACGGATGATGAACTCAAACATTTTACTGACAACAATTCATCTCTTCATTTGGAGAAGGTACTAGTGCCAGGATCTTCAGCCTATATTTATTGCGACACGTCAACGGGACGCCCACGACCATTTTTGCCACAACGATTCCGGCGTCACGCATTTGATCAGTTACACAACCTTAGTCACCCCGGTGCACGCGCAACAGCTCACTTAGTTTCAGAACGATTTGTGTGGCCAGCAATGAAAAAGGATTGCCGTTCCTGGGCACGTGCCTGCGTCCACTGTCAGCGATCGAAAATAAGCCGACACGTCTCAGCCCCACTGGGAAACTTTGAAACACCTTCACGCCGATTCAAACATGTTCATGTCGATATCATCGGTCCATTGCCGCCATCACAGTCCTTTAGGTACTGTCTGACGGTAATCGACCGTTTCACCCGTTGGCCGGAGGTGTATCCACTCGAACGTATAACAGCAGATGATGTCACTAAGGGTTTCCTCAATTGCTGGATTTCACGCTTCGGAGTACCTCAATACGTTACGACTGACCGTGGTACTCAGTTTGTTTCAGCTACTTTAAAAACTTTAGCAAAACGTTTTGGTTTTACGCTTCGCCCCACTACCAGTTGGCATCCTGCTGCAAACGGATTCGTCGAACGAATGCACCGACAACTAAAGGCAGCCATCATGGCCCACGCAAAAGACTCGTGGACTGAGTCACTGCCTATCGTGCTTCTCGGAATACGTTCTGCGTTTAAGGAAGACTTAAAAGCCACGTCTGCGGAACTTGTTTATGGTGAGCCTCTTAATCTTCCTGGTGATTTCTTCACAGACAAGCAAGATAATAGCAGTACGAACGACCCTACTAGCTTACTAGATCGTCTTCGCAGTGTTATGAATAAAATTCGTCCAGTACCTGCATCTCGCCACTCAAATCCACGATCATTTGTTTTTGCGGACCTTAAGGACTGTTCACACGTATTTCTCAGGGAGGGAGGTGTCCGAGCAGCACTTCAACCGCCATATCAAGGTCCCTACGAAGTAATTGCCCGAAATGACAAAACGTTCACAATAAAAGTTCGAAATCAATCAGTTACGGTGACGATTGATAGAGTAAAACCTGCCTACCTCATGGTGAACGAAAGCACAACCGTTAGCCAGGCACATGCTCCACCAGCGACTGCCCCGGATACGACCAAACAGAAACAACCGCCTAATACCGATCCATCAACACAGCCAGTACGAACAACTCGCTCAGGCCGCCGAGTCAGATTCCCGGACATTTTTGACCCTAGCTAACTCCACTCCGTAGGGGGGTGGTGTGGCGGTCGAATATTCTAGAATGTCCGGCCGCCGCCGCCTCTAGAAGATTCGTCGCTCTACATAAGCGTGTGGCGGTCGAATGTCTAGAGAGTTCCGACGCCGCCTCTAGAAGATTCCTCTGACTATTTAAGGGCAAGATCGTCGCTCCAGTCAGTCAGTCGATCAGTCAATCACTTACGCATTCTGTCTTACACGCGCTTCGTTTCTCGCTGTTATTTATTAGTTCGTTGTAATACAGTTCGTCTCTCGCTGTTATTTGTTATTTGTTAGTTCGTTGTAATATAGTATAGTTGTTATTAAATCGTAAAAGTGTTTATTACTTCTATACATTACACCTCGCTACAGATCTATTCTCTCTATGCAGGAGTGCCAAAACTTCAAACATGCTTATAGCACATCCAGAGAAAAACCTCGATCTATATAATAAATTCATATTTATATATCAATGTAATCGTATAACAATTAATAATAAATAATGACTAATTTTATTTATAGAGTAAAAATCCTGTAAAACATAAGATTTTTAGGAAAATACACATTTATTCTAGGTAAATGCAGTATGTACAGTTCAAATATTATCGAGCGCAAAATTTTTTTTTTTCATAGTATAGCTAATGACTTGCTCTACAAGCCACATGTATGGATTAACGTGTAATTTTGCGTAATTTTTAGTTAATCTCTTTAAACGAGCAAACTAGAGAAAAAAACGAAAAAATTCGATTTTTTTTAAGTATAAATATGTTTAATTCCACAAATATAAAAAAAAATCTTTTTTTTTTCTTTTTCATTTGAAAAAGGATATCTTTTTTAATAGGAATAAATAATTTTTTAATTTTAAATTATGTTTTAAGGCATTAAAAAAAATGTACAAAAATAAACTCAAAATAACTGAAAATACGGATAAATTTTAGAAGTATAACATTAAAATAGCTCTACACCTTCACTAAATCAACTTATGCCCTTGAAAATTTGTATTAAAACCCTTAAGTATGATATTAATGTGTTTTGCTAAAAAAAAAAAATTTAAGTGACTTTTAAAAAATGATACTTTTGGCCGCCTAAATCGGCGTTTCATTCCACTGTGCGACTGTTCCTCTTTGAAAAGTAAAAACACGGATTATATATAACATTTTAATAATCAAAGTCATTAATAAAAAATTAAAAAAAAAATTATCTTTGTTTTTATATTATTATATTTTATTTATAAATACTCGTTTTTATTAATTAGTAATAATCTCAAAAAATAGAGATGATAGGAAAAGTCTAATTTCAGATTTTAAATCACCGCGAAAAAATTGTTTTCATAAGTATATTTTTTAATTCCTTGTAGATTGTGTCCTTGTAATAATCTTCTCAAAACTAAGAAATTGTATGAAAATAATTTATGGGAGAGATAAAATTAAAATTAACCACACTAAATTATTTTTTCAAACTTCGCCATAAAAGTTTTAGTTTTTTACTTAAAATTTATTGTAATCTTAAATCAACCACCGCAAAATGTACTTTTATAATAATAAACATAAATTATGAGTATGTACAATATAAGTAATTATTTATGTTATACATATATTATTTTATACTTATATCTTCCATACATTTCAATTATCAAGGGTCCCTTGATAATTGAAATGTAGGCGTTGACTTAGATAAACTATTTGTACTCGTATGCATAAGCATAATAATTATAATATTATTTGGAAACATAATATGATCATTTTCATATTTAGTAGAATAAATATCTATTATAATTTATTTTTTAGGAAAATTGATTACTCTATTTATAATCTTTGCTAAAAACTTTGACATTTTTTAGGAAAATTACCTTAGATATCATTTTTGGTAGGTTGCATTTATGTTTAAATTACATTTATAAAATCTTAAAATTAGTACTTTTATTTTACATGTCAGCTTGGTGTGCATATGTTGATTAAAACAATTCAACATATTTAGTAGCGTATAGGAGTCTAAGAAATCCGAACACTCTCTCTCCATTGATATATAACTGGAAAACAGTTAAAAATTAATTATATTCAAAGCGGTTCTCAAAAATTTCATTTTTCAAAAATTTCTTTGGTTCTAGAAAGTTCAATCCTTTTTCAATTATTTTTTCATGCTTTTTTAATTTATTTTTTTTAACCAATTATATTTTATTTTTTGGACATATGCGGATTAAAATATTTAATATAACCTAATTTGTTGGGTACGCTATTCACAATAAGACATATTTTGTCCGACCCGCTGCTGTTCTGACCTTAAATACACTCTTTTGTATTTCTGCATACTGTTTCATCTCTATGTTAAATTAACATCCAGAGAAATTCTTATTTTATAAATAAATTATTAATGTTATAATAATAATAAAGTATAATTGTATAAAAAAAATTAAATGAAGAGGAGAAAGTGACTTGAACTTTTCCAAAATAATAACGCTTATAAATATAGTTTTAATATAGATATTAAGTTTATTTTTATTTTTATTCCTTAAAACCTTAATTTTAATTCTTTACAACCCAAGTCTTAAGAGTAACTATAGAATAAATATGACATTTTTGATATCAACGTTGTTAATTATCAGCGATTTTCGATGATATCTAAAATGTAGCCCTAGATAATCGAAAAATCAACCAACGTTTAAATCTAATTGTCTATTATTTCTTTATTTTAAAAGTTATTCAACTGTTTAATCTCAATAATAATATTATATTTGTAATATTATGCTTACGTCATGTTTTTGTGTTAACTTATGAGCCAAGTGAATAGTGTTTTATTTTTATTTAAACATCGATGTTTAAAAAATAGTATCGAAACGTTATCACTCGATTTTCAACATGTTTATCGATTATACTGGAAAAATGCACAATGTTTGATATACAAACAGAGTATCGCGTAGAAATCAATACTGCCCACTAACTCGCAACGAGGTGTTCAGATTGAAGGCGTTGCATCATTACTTTCTTGGACGTGTAACTTAAATATTTATACTAGAAAGATTAAACATATTTCTTAATAAGTGTGTAAGTTTGTTTAATTATAATCAAGCTTAATGTGAACCGGCTTTGTGGCTTTTTATCAAACGAAATTTTATTATTGGCTTCTTTTTTTTATTTGCTTATTTAACATTCAGCCTTTAAATCTCTAATACCATATTGTGCATTGCTTATTTAGTTTTTTTTTTATTATTATTATTTTTGATTTTAGTCTGAACTGTTCGAAACAAAAATATGTTTGTTTGAATAAGAACGGAAAGGAGATCAGGTGCTTACAATGTCTTCCAAACAAGCACCATCTATTATTGGAAAAATCTTCAGAGCTTATGAAAAACAAAATAATAATAATTACTGTGTCATACTAGAAAATCGTTATCAGGATGAAGTATTGATATTTGAGAACAATACTCTATGTGTAGCATCTGCCAGTGAATTTGAATCCTTAAAACGGCAATGTGTCAAAATAATTGATGCCTATGGCTGTCTAGGTGTTCTTAATGTAAATATTGAAAATAAATTGGTTCTATATTTAGTACTAGTGACCGGGTGCCAATCTGTTGGAAAAATATCAGATGCAGAAATTTTCAAAATTACTCAAACTACATTTGTGTCATTGCGCAAACAACAAAATGAAGATTGTGCTTCTGAAGTTAGAAAACTACTTAATAGTGGAAGTTTTTATTTTTCAAGGTATGTGTCCCAAGAAGTTCGTTTTGATTTAACATTGTGTGCTCAAAGACAGTGGAATAACTGTGATCCTGATCAACGATTTTTTTGGAATCGTAATTTGCATATATATTTTATTCGTTTTGGAATTGATACTAATCAGTGGTTAATGAAGATTGTTTGTGGTAGTATTGAAGTGAAAACTGTTTATGCACGTCATAAGCAGGCGAGAATTGCTATAATATCAAGACTAAGTTGTAGACGTGCTGGTACAAGGTTCAATGTCCGTGGTTGTAATGATGATGGTCATGTTGCAAATTTTGTAGAAACTGAACAAGTTATTTATTTAGATGATGATGTTACTTCATTTGTGCAAATAAGAGGAAGTGTACCATTATTTTGGGAACAACCTGGTGTGAATGTTGGTGCACATAAAGTAAAATTATCAAGAAGTGTAGAAGCTTCTGCTGAAGTTTATGAAAAACATGTCAAGTCTCTTAAAGATTGTTATGGTAATATAATTTTTATTAATTTATTAGGAACAGCTAACGCTAACAGCAAAGAAAATGAATCATCTTTAAGTTATGCTTTTGAACAAAAACATTCAACTTCGACATTTTCTTTTATACCTTTTGTTGCATTTGATTACCATCAAGAAGTTAAAAGTGGAGGTGATAAAAATTTACAAAAATTAAAAAATACAGTTTATCCTTATTTAGATTCATTTGGCGTGTTTTATGCGAAAGGTAATTCAATAATAAAACATCAAACTGGTTCAATGAGAATAAATTGTACTGATTGTCTTGATCGCACTAATTGTATCCAAAAATTTTTCGCTCTTGAAGTATTAGCCAAACAATTGAGCTTTCTTTGTCCTAATGAAACCGATCAAATTATATCTAGATTTGAAGAAGTTTTTCAACAACTTTGGATTAATAATGGCAATGAAATAAGTAGAATTTATGCTGGTACTGGGGCCATTCAAGGAGGCTCTAAATTACTTGATGGTGCTCGTTCTGCAGCTAGAACCATTCAAAATAATTTATTGGACTCTAGTAAACAAGAAGGTTTTGACATTTTGTTATCTGGAAATGCATTAAACAATGAACTCTCTATGATAGCAAAAAAATTGTTACCTTATAATGTTTGGCAATGTCATCCAGATCTTATTGAAGAAATGTGCAAAAAGTATGAATCTTATACTTTTAAAAGAAAATTGCGTGTAGCTGTTGCTACTTATAATGTTAATGGTGGTAAACATTTTTTGAACTTTGATTCTGAAAATTTAGAATCTTTATCAAAATGGCTAATAGAACCATTCAATATTAATTTATTTAATTCTTCAATAGAATTCTTTATAAATGACAGTAATTTTCTTCCAGATATATATGCTATAGGCTTTGAAGAAATTGTAGATTTAAATGCGGGTAATATTATGGCAGCCAGTTCAGACAACGCAGACTCATGGAACAAAAATCTTAAAAATGTATTGTGTTCCCAAAGAGATTATGTGCTGTTAACTAGTACTCAACTCGTAGGAGTTTGTTTATTTATATTTTTAAAATCAGAACTCTTACCATTTGTTAGAGATGTTACAACAGATTCTGTAAAAACAGGTATGGGAGGTGCAACAGGTAATAAAGGTGCTGTGATGGTACGTTTTACTTTAAATGCCACAACAATGTGCTTTATATGCTCTCATTTTGCTGCTGGTCAATCACAAATTGCAGATCGTAATGCAGATTTCAATGAAATTACAAGAAAATTAAAAATTCCTATTCAATCAAATGACTATGTTTACTGGTCTGGAGATTTCAACTACCGTGTTGATATGGATCGTTTAGATCTTATTAACCATGTTTTTGATGGAGAATTAGATGAAATATTAAAATATGATCAACTTTTGGCACAAGTAAGAGACAAAAAAGTATTTGAAGGATTTTTAGAAGCTCCTATTACTTTTTCTCCTACCTATAAGTATGATATTTTGACTGATGATTATGATTCAAGTGATAAATGCCGTACACCAGCTTGGACTGATAGAGTTTTATGGTATTGTAATGAAAATAATAAATGGCCTAAAGGAAATCAAGTTCTCTATGGACGTGCTGAAATTAAAGAAAGTGATCATAGACCTGTCATAGCAAGTTATGAAATTGACATTTTATGTGTTGACAGTAATCAATGTGAACAAGTTCTTAGTTCAGTATGGAATGATTATGGACCAATTGATGGAGTTATTAATGTCCATGTACAAAATATGGATTTTCCTAATGATGATGAAAATTTTAAAATTATTATGCTACAAGGTTTGGGTTCATTTGGTAAGATTCTGAATGTTCGATATTTTACTGACCGAGCTGAAATAACTTATGAAAATGGTCGATTTGCTTCTAATGCATTAAAAATTAAACAAATATCTATCAATAACTATACTCTTATTTTAACACCAAAGAATTCAAATTGGTTAAAAACCATAAAAAGTGAAATTGAAACAATTACAAATCGCAACATTCCATTATGGATTGACAAATTAAGAACAGCTCCATCTCGTCCACCATTACCTGCCAGGTCTGATCAAGGAATTGATGGAATGCCTAATTATCCACCACCTTTAAATGTTCCTTTACCACCATTACCTCCTAGACAAAGATTGCCACCTCCTCTTCCTCCCAGAAATATTTAATACGGTATTTTATAAAATTAAAAATGTTGTTATTTCTACTTAGTAAAATTAGTTAATTATAATTTTTAAATATAATAATTATGTATTCATTAGTAATGTATACATATTAGCCTGTTATTGTTAAGTTACCTTATTTTGTAAAATTTTAATTGGACTGTTAAAAAAATGTATACATTTTATAATTAGTGTATTTATATTTTGATTTTTTTTTAAATGTCAAGTCAATTTAGCAATAAGTCTACCAGTCTTCTTATTATTTTATTGTTATTTAATACTAAAATTAAAATTATATATTAAATATTCAAAAATCATCTTTAAAGTTGCTTTGATTTTTATATTTATTTATTATTTTTTTTTTTTTGTATTATCTTATTTTTTGCATTTTTATGGTTGTTCCTTGACTTGTTTGCATGTTATTATTTTGTTATTTTTTGTTAATATAATTTTATTGCTATATGATTTTTATTTTTTTTAATCGCCAAGCTGGTACACGTAATTTTTAACTTATCATTACATTACTCTGATTTATAAAAGAATAATGATGTTACACAAATGGATACAAAATTTGGATCCATATGCTCAGGAATTATATTTATGCAATTTTCGGGTTACTGTTGAGGGTGAATGGTTATGTTTGCGTGAAGTCACTGATGATCCACTCAGTGATATATTTCCTTCGCAATGTTTAACATCTCCAGATCTACCATTCTTATTAGGTACTTTATTTAGAAACAATTTGATTTAATTTATAAGAAATTTTTCTAAAATAATTTTTTTTTAATATATTATTAATTTAAAAATGTATATTTAATAATATTATTTTAAACTTAGATCGTGATCCAGTATTAATAGAAAGGCGTAATTTGGTGAATATTTCAAAGCTTATTGTTAAAGAATTAATTGAAAATTCTTTAAAAAATGGTCGTATGCTAGATTCAGATCATGCACCATTGCAACATTTTTTCATAGTTTTGGAACATGTACTTCGACACGGTTTGCGTCCCAAAAAAGGTCTTTTAGGACCTAAAAAAGAATTATGGGACATATTACAAATTGTCGAAAAACTTACACCTGATGCTCAAGAATTAACAAATAGTATAAGAGATTTGCCAACTGTCAAGTAACATAGTACACTGATCAAAAAAAAAAAACTTTAAAAAAATGTTATAATTTATGATTGTAGAACTCAAATGGGTAGAGCTAGAGCATGGTTAAGAGTTGCATTAATGCAAAAAAAATTAGCAGACTATTTAAAGGTTCTTGTTGATCATCGAGATGAAGAATTAGTAGATTATTTTGAACCAGATGCATTAATGATGAGTGATGAAGCTATTATTATTGTTGGCTTAATGGTTGGACTTAATGTTATTGATTGTAATTTGTGTATTAAGGCAAGCTTCATTATTTTTTCATTTTGCCTTTGTTAATAAATTTTTTTTATTAGGAAGAAGACTTAGATTCTCAACAAGGTGTTATAGATTTTTCATTGTATTTGCGTTCCAGTCACTATTCAAACAGCCACATACAGGGAACTGTTAGTTGTCCAGATAGCCCATTAGGATTAGAATCAAATAGCATGAATGTTGTTCTAGACCAAAAAAATTATATTGAAGAACTTAATTGTCACTTAAAGTTAACTATAAATATAAAGCACATGTAATTAAAATGCAAATTATACAAATTTTTTAAAATTTTTATAGAGCTACTGTTGCAAATTTGGAAGTTAAAGTAGAAACACTTACTACATCAAACACCCTTACAAAAGAAGAACTTGAAATGTGTAAAAATAGTTTAGTGACATTAAAAGAGGAAAATCAATTGTTAAAAAATCAAGTGACTCATACTGATAATTCTAATAAAAAAGTAAATTGTTTATAATTATAAATACATAACATTTTTATAAAGATAAATCATTTAAATATTCTATCTATCAAATAAATATTTTTTATAGACAGATATAGAAATAACTGATATTTCTGAATGTAATATTGATGTATTGAAACAACATCTCGAGAACGAAAAAAAACAAAGAATTGATGCTGAAAAAGAACTTCATTTACAGGTTCATTTAGAAATATGATACTACATTTCACTATTAAGTATAAGCAACAACAAATTGACATTTTATAAAAGATTATAATTAATTATCAGTTATTAATAATTAAACAACTTAATTTGTTACTTGTACTTCTAAATAGTTTTAATTATAAAAAATAAAATAGGAATAAATGCACATTTATAAATAAAAAATATATTCTAAAATCATTTTTTTAAATATGTATAATAGTATACAAAAAGCATTTATATATTTTTTAATAATAATTCATTCTTATACAAATAAATATGTATAGTCTATTATTTTTTTAAATAATAGATGAGTTTAAAAGCTGAAATGGAAGTAGCCATGAAATTATTAGAAAAAGAAAGTAGAGAAAAACATGAAACTATTGTTTCTTTAAGACGCCAACTTGATGATATTAAAATGATAAATTTAGAAATGTACAAAAAGTTACAGGTGAGATTAAATAATAAAAATAATATTTAATGGAATTTAGTTAACATAGATTAAATTATAATGATATGATGTTTGAAGTTATAATAAATATTTATCATAAACTATGTTATTAAAAATATTGGGTTGGGCAATGAGCAGGAATGTGAAGATGATTTAACCAAAAAAGCTAGTATGGTGAGCCGACTACAGAAAAAAACTGAACAAATTGGATGTTTGCTGAGTAATTTACAGTTTCATGACGCTCAACAGCTTAGAATGAGAAATGCTGGAATGAAGAATTCAAATTCTGACACACGATTATCATCACGTCCTGAACGTTCTCATCATCGACAGTCTTATACACCTATTTTATCAGAAAATGCACCAAGTCCTGAACCATTGACTGATCCTAATCAATCAAATAACTAACAAATTTTTAAAATTGTCATATTTTTTTCTTAATTTAATATTTATTCTATATGAATATACATTTTTAATAGGCCTAGTAATAATAATAAAGTGTATAGTGCTATTTTTTTATTATTTAAATGTTTCCATGAAATAAGAAAAAGTTTAATTACAGGATAGTGAAAGTTTACTTAAACACAAATCAGAGTTTGTTACTAAACTGGAAACCAAAAATGTAACTCTGACAGAGGCTTTAAAAAAAACAGAAGAATTGTATGTATTATTTTAACAATATTCTTTTCTCTAAAAATATTTATCCATTTTGTATAATGAACTAACTACCTGTCCTAATATTTATAAAATTAAGAAACCTACTCTTTGAGTGAGGCCACAATAAACCTTTATAGGCTGAAATTACATTAAAAATTAATATCTTCCCTAAAAATAGTAAATTTTTATATTATTATATAGTTGAATATTTAATGTTAAACATTATTCATTATTATTATTTGAATTCTTAAGATTGGATGAATGAGTTTATAGAAAAGAAATTTAAAAAATGATGCGAGTAGATTGTGAGATCTGTTTATAACTGAAACTGAATCTATAAATGTCATAATTTAGTTTCAAAGGTATTTTTAAAAAAATAAATAGTATTTATTATAAATTAAAGATATTATCAAATCTAGTGTAAAATGTTTTTCCTTGAACTAGTTTTTGATGTATTTATACTGCACATATAAATTAAATGTTGTGTACAATGTATTTCTATATGTATTTGAATTTCTTTTAGATAAATAAAATTTAAACTTAATTTGTGAAAATTTTAATAAATACTGACTAAATACATTGAACGTCTTTGATATTATCCAACATATTAAATTCCTAAACATTTTTTAGCTTAATTTTGTTTTATGTTTATTAATTTATTTATTTACTTTTTTTTATTGTTGGGCACTCGCAACATTTTTTTTTTTTTTTAGTATTAAGTAAATTTTTTCCTATCCAATTACCTGCCTATATACATTTATAGATCAAAAATTAATGAAGAGGAAAAGAAAAAAATGTCTGAATCTCTACTCAGGTATAATGATCAAATTACTGAGCAAACAAATACTATAGCTAAGTTAAAACAAGAAATAGTTAAAGAACTAGAATCAAAACGTTTATTAGAAGATCAACTTACTAAGGCTGGTTATCAAACTAATCGTCTTGACCAAGAAATTAGTCAATTAAAAGCTATGTCTAATGTAAATTCTTTAAATTCTTAATCACATTATTAGTCCAATAATTTAAATTATTTACCTATACCCAGGAATATGTTCATTTACAAGAAGAACATCATAAAATACTAGATAAATGTAGAGGCCAAGAAAGAGCATTGGAAGAACTAGCTGGCCAGCTAAAAAAAGAAATCCTTAAATCCAGTGCACTAGAAGAAGTTGCCAACTCTTCATTAACACAAGCTCATTGGGAACGTGATAATGAGGTGTCTAATTGCAAGAAATGTAAAAAAGAATTTAGTTTAACTAGGAGAAAAGTATGATTTTCATAAAACTAAATTTCTTTTTTTTAAGTATACTACTAATTTTTTTTTATCAAAAACATGCAATAATATTAAGTCTTAAACTTATTTCTTAAATATTACTTGATCAATTTAGGTTGTTTTAACTACTTCTTAGGTTTTAATAATACTCAGTTAATAACCAATCCTTTTTGGTCCTATAGTATTATTATTAAAAATAATTGTCCAAATCTCAGAATAATATTTATATTATACTAATTAATGTTATTTGACACAGACACAACTAAGGGATTTAAGAGAGCTTAGCTCCACTAATTCTGTCCTAGCCCCTCCAAAAATTATGAAAATTACATGTATATTTAAATTGAAACATTTTTGAAGGGAGAAATTAAGTAAGATTCCCTAAACATTTTGTTCAAATTGCAACTATGGTATTATACTTAGAGTATATAAGTAAAATTTTTAAATTAAAAATTGCTTAAATTACAAAAAATCATTTTATGGCTGCACTCTTCTTCCCGCCTAGGTATAAATATAACAATTCCAAAATATTAGTTCAAAAGTTGTTATTAACTGTCATTTTTTAAATTAGATTATTATCTATTAAAAAAATTGACACCCTTATAAGATGTAAAGGACGACCATAAAAATACTTCATGTTTAATAAATTGAGAAAAACATTAAACTAAATAAAACCAATAAAAAAATTATCAATATCATTTTTATTATTCATTTAATTAAGTGGTTCATGATAAATGAATCACTCTACATATATTAGTTTTTTAAATATATAATAACTTAAGTAATTTTCTATATTTTCTTAAAATTTCTAGAGTTAACAAAAATTAAATCATTAAAAATATTTTAACGATTATTTTTCTTAAATATTTGATAATCAAACATTTTTATTCAACAGCATCATTGTAGACATTGCGGTGGAATTTTTTGTACTCAGTGTTCAGACAATATGATGATGTTACCTTCATCAGCAAAACCAGCTCGTGTATGTGATGAATGTAATCTCGTTCTAGTAGAAAGATATTCTGTTGTGCCAAATAATTAAATTGCTTATTTTAATCATCTTGACTACATAATATGTTGCAAGTTTTAAATTACATTTCATTCTGGATGAGAATATTTATTTTAATATCTCATTAGAGTTAATGTATTTTTTATGTACTATTATTTTGAACTCAACTTAATTATGTATTATTATTTTTAATTATTTTAACCAATTCAATAACATTAAATTTTTGTTGTATGTTTTAAAAAAATATTTTATATAATTTATACATTTTTCATCTCTCACATGAAATTTATTCACTTTTCATTTAATAATTATTTATTTAAGTTACTATGTTAATATGTTAAAATTTTATGTGTTCTTGTATATCTTATGTTACCTATGTAATATTAAATAATTTATAGAATTTTTATAATCTCATATTGAACTCATGTTTTTGAAATAAAAAAAAATATGTATTCACTGAAAAAAACAACTAAATAAAAATAAATTTATTATGTATTTTATCGAAATTTGGTTTGAATAAGAATTAAATTACTTAGAAAATTAATGAACATATAGGGTGTAATTAGAGAAAAAATTTTATTATTGATCTAAAAAGTAATAAAAAGTATGTTACTGCTTTATTAATTTCGCATATTGATGTGTCTATGCTAATTTAATGAATATAAATTCATCAATTTAAACATTTAATTTTATAATCAATATTTTATGGAACAAATATAAAATTGATTATTTTTTAAAAAAATAAAGAAAATATTAAAATGTTTCAATTATTTTTGGTTGATATTAATTCATTAATATCATTGTATGATAATTTCCTCAGATCTTATTTTAATAGAATCATTTCTATATTAATAAGGGATAATTATAAAAACTATATATCTCTATTATAATCTTATTGATTTAATTTGTTCTACATTTAAATTTGACTTCTTAATATTAATTTTTTCTTAATAATATTATTAAAATACAGATAAACGACATTCTTATTAATTTACTTGTTTTGCAACTAGTATAGTTTACTTAACAAATATAACTAATGAATTAATAATTTTAAAAAATTAGATTAAGTAACATTAATAAAAAAAGTAATAATAAAATTAATAATTTTTATATTTTTAGTTAATCAACTAAAATTACAAATATACTAAATAAACCTTAATTTTAATCATTCTAAAATGACCAGTGTTTAACTAATTCTACTATAATTTTTTTTTATTTTTGAATTAAGTATTTATGTATTGCTGGTCTAAGTATGAATTTTTTATAATATTTACTACTTTAATTCTTTAAATTTAGTTTTTAATAATAACTATGCTTAATTGAAAAATAACACTATTAACTATTTGTTATAATTATATCATTTTGGAGAAACTTTTTTCTGTATAAAACAATGAGTTGCACAGTGATAAATGAGTAGTTTGACGCCCCAGTAAAGAAATTCAATTATAGTCAATAGACTGAATCCCAAAAAAAGACCAGCAATACCTCCAAATGACACTGAAAATCAAAAAAAAATATAGTTATACTACAATAATATATATTTTTTAGATAAATATTTAGAGATTCCTTAAATACTCAAAAGATTAAACTAATAAAATTATATTATATTCTTTTTCTTAATGTTCATAAAATCTATAACATTTTATACAAATTTTATTATTTAATATAACTGATTACATTAATAATGTAATTTGTATAAACATTAACTTAACATAATATTTTTTAGATTTATGTTGAAATATTGAAAATTTGGCATTTTTTATTAAGAAAAATTACTATCTACACACAGTTGTACAATAAGCAATTATGAGTTAACATATGGTTAATGCAATATTTCATATTTCCATCAAATAAGAGTAAATCTTAATTTAACAGTAAACGGCCATAACAATATTTATGTAGAATGATACCGAAATAACTAAAAAAATTTAGAACTGTTTTTTTTTTAGAAATTTAGTCTTAAAAAATACATTACTGTAAAATAATATATTCAATTTTCAACTATAGAAAATAATATTTAAACTAAAAATAAACTTATCGAATATAATTTTATTAGTTTACCATTGATGAATCCAAGGATAGGATTAAGAGACAACTATAGTTCTCCCAAACTCATTTAAATATTTTTAACGTTTACATTACCTAGTAGATCAATCCATCCAAACGTTACGTCCCGTTGATATTTTACTGCGCCTTCGTTTTTGTAAAATATGTCTACGGACCCGTAGCTCTCTCTCGATAACTGTTGAGAATCGTATGAAGAATCTACATCCACATCATAAACGCTTTCATGGCATGTAGGTAGACATTGTGAACAATTAAGCGGAGAGAGTACCTCTCCTTGCATAAACCCTCGAATATTTCCTATTGGTGGACTATAGAAACGTAATTCACTATTGTGTAGAGCTATACATAAAAGCTGTGTCGAGTTACATATTGGAATACGATTATCTAAACAAAGGAGATTAACTTTGGAGAAAATGCAGTTTAGCTCCCATACGTTTATAAAATCAATTAATTTTTTACACTGATTTCGAATATGCAAAAATAAAATATCAGTTAAAACTGGTAAAAAAATTATAGCATATTTAATATGCTATAACTACAAATTTCAATTTTAAGTGTGCATATAACGGGTTATCAGGCCGAGCGTACACCATTAATATCCTTCTTAATGTAACTTTTGTTTACGATTTATAAAACAAAAATGGTTATATTGAGAGTAACTAAAACTAAGATTGTAGTTTTGAAAAATATCTGTTCTTTACATATAAAAAACAGTTTATTACCCCTTCTAAACGAAGAAAGATTGTATCTTCATCATGTAACCGTTTTTTTTCTGGGGAAATCTATCCTCTTCAACTCTCCTCACCAAGCCAAGTTCCTCGCAATACCTTTTAAATAATTTAATTAAAATTATCATTGAAGTGTTAATATTAAAGTTGAAGCTTTAAAACTGTTTTTTATTCTTGTTTAATTAGTTAGTTAGTTAGTTAATCTAGTTTACCATAATGATACCAGTAGAATTCTTTTGGATAACCGTACAAATTGTTAAAATGCCTATTCATTTTAATAATATTTACGACTAATTGGAACATAAATGAAATATTATGTTGTAGGCTCAGCCTTATAACAGCGCTATTTGCTAACTATAAAGTGTTACGACTTTTTAATTATTTTTAAATTTATATTAGTTTCACCTGATTGTATGTTTGTAACTCTCAACGCGCCACGTGTTATTATTCTCGCGTATCCCGTTGTCTATGACTTTGAGACTAGACTGTAATACTATTTAATAATTTGAATATTACTATCAATGGAGAGGTGGCATTTAAAATAATAAACATTTGTTTATCTCATTAGTATAACAAAAGTTCTATAAATTTACAAAATAATACAATTTTTAACACGCTTATATTAGTTTCATATAATTATATATATTACATGTTGTTTGTTATTTGTAACTCTCAACGCGACACGTGTTATTATTCTCGCGTATTCCGTTGTCTATGACCTTGAGACTAGACTGTTGTAATGCATTCACCCCACGGCGGCAACACTATTCCTATATAATTTTATTTTTGGTTTTCGTACCCTTACAAGCGTGTGCATCATCAATATTATATATATAAACAAATTTTTATTGTTTATTATTAGATATAAACATTTAAAGATTCAAATTTTTTTGAGTTAATATACGTGTATAATACACAAGGGATTACAAATACAGGTAGCTAATTGGTTTTTTATGACGATATTCGCAGGTTTATAGCCTTTATTATCAATGGTCATAAGACACATTGTTGTGAGTTTTTAAACACACTAACTGGCAATACAGAAATTATATCTATTGATAGTCATAATTTACAATAAACACTCCGTGACTGTGACAGAAATGTTATAAAAACTAAAAAGTAAAAAATAAATATAGTTTAAAAAAACTGAAAAACGCCCTTTTAAAGCATATCGAACTAAAAAGTTAAAAATAATTTTAAAAATGACCTCAAAACACAATAATGAACGAAAATACTAATATTATTGTTTTGAGGTCATTTTTTAAATTATTTTTAACTTTTTAGTTCGATATGCTTTAAAAGCGTGTTTTTCAGTTTTTTTTTTAACTATTTTATTACACCAATATTTTATTTTTACAGAATTGTAATTAGTGTAAAAAAGACAAATCAATTTGAAAAAAACATTGTGAGAAATTAACTACATTTATGGCTTATTTTAGTACATTTATTAAGAAACATTTAAATATAAATATATTAAGTAAGTTTAATCTTGAATTAATCTATACTTACTTTGTTCACAAAAATTATTCTTACCAAGCATGTTGTAGTAGTATGGACGACAGTGACACTTTTCATTTATATAATTCAAGCGACATTCTATCAAGCACGACTTTTGGGTATATGATTTTGATATACTTAGCTGTTGTTCATCAGGAAAATAACAAAATCTATCCTCAATTGGTAGTTTTCTTATAGCATCCGTACTAATGGTAACGTAAGGTTTTAATGTGATACTAAGTTTATTTTTTGTTTCTGCGAGAACAACACTACCCATACCAGATTCTGGATATTCGGTTACATAAAATATTTGAACCTAAATGTGAATATAAATGTATTTAGAACTCACTATTACGTACTTACTTAATTAATTAAAAAATAAAAAATGTATTAAATTTAATTAAAATTGGGGATTGACCGAATAATCACCATTTAGTTGATATCTGCTCTATACGTTTAACAATTTAAGGAATATTTATTGTCGCGTATAAGTTATTTATATTCAATTATTCATCGTCAATTTTAATTTTTCATAAAGTAATACTAATAGTATTGTAGGTTTTTACTATCGGCCAACTTAAATAAGTTACTTAATTAATATTATATACAGGTTTATCTGTCAATATAGTAATACAATAAACTAGCATATGTGATTGTGTATTGTTGTCTTTAATGTAAAAATATTTTACTTCAAAATATCTCCTATCCTAAGAAAAATTAGGAAATTTATCAATTAAGGGTTAATATTTTGTAACATCACTTATCTCCAACATTAAAAAAAAAAACACAGCACAGGGGGGTTGCGACACAGTGGTGACGTAGCATAGTTGGGTTAAGTATAATGATATCTGACAGTGATTAAAATCACTATCATAAAAAACGCTTGGATGCAAATCTGTAGATAGTGAAAAATTTTAAAAAATTGATGGATTATTCCAAAAGCTACATGATCTGCTAGTTCCTTATTAATATCCTGATTAAGATTAAGTATTTCGAATAAAAAAGGGATTATTAAAAAAAATTATTTCTCTTAAAAAAATTGTGTTGATCCATACACTTTTCAGTAAGTTATAGCATTATAAAGTTAAAAATGTAAAAAATAAAATCGAAAATTTTCACACAAAAATAGCATTCGGTAGCCATATTCATCATAAAGACAAAATAAAGTCCGAAATTTTTTTTTCCATAATAAATTACATTACATTAGCTATAATTTAAGGTATATATATAAGTGTCAGACTTTCCAGAAAACTTTCAAAAGTTAAGTTGAAAAAGTAAATTTTTTGTGAAAAAGTTGTCATTTTGAATTCCCTCTTGTAGGCAGGTAAAGAGTCAGATTTATAAAAAAAATATATACTAAATGATAGTTAAAGACATCATGCATCCATAAAAAAAAGAATTATATTAATCCATACATCTTTCAAAAAGTTATAGTATTATAAAGTTAAAAATATAAAACAGAATTTTTTTACAAAAATTATATTTTTTTTATTAACTTTGATGTCTGATTTCACCATGAAGACAAAATAAAGTCCAAGTTATAGTAAAACCAATATCTTCTCAGCTTCGCATCGAAGCTAAAAGGAAAGAAAGTTAACTTTCTTAATTAATTATTCTAATCTTCTTTAGTTAATTATAATTAACTAAATTATTGTTTCAGTCATGAAATTGAAATTTTCAATTATCATAGACAATTAAAAGCTAGAACATTTTTTTTGTTTTGAAAAGGGCAATAACCTTTATTTTAATATACTTATTGGATTAACATTAAAAACTGCAAAATATTTATAACTAACACTTAAATATTTTTAATTTTTGTTAGGGGAATTAATAGGAACTCATTACATTTATGACTATACCACTAAACTTAAAATATATGCATAAATAAATGAAATAAAAAATTATAAATGCACGAAATACAGTGATTTTTAACACTAAAATAACATTTTTTTTTTAAATCAAGGATCACTTAAATATATATTATGTGTCGGAATTTTATTTTTATAGCTTATTACATAAGCTTTAATTTAACATTTGTTTGAAGCTCGGAGTATTTCCAAAAGATTATCCAAAAGTTAAATTGAAAAGGTTAACTTTTCATGCAAAAGTTAGGAATTTCTCTAGTGGGCACATTAATGGCCAGATTTTCAAAAAAATTATATACCTAAAAAGAAGGAAATTATTTATTTATATTTATTAAAAAAAATTGTTTTGATTTACTCATTTTTTAAAAAGTATGATAGTTTTAAGTAAGAATACTTTTAAAAATGTCACAATTTATCGAAATTAAAATTAGTTTTTTTTTAATTTCCCCCATTTACGGCGATCAAAGGAAAATTTTTCAATTTTGGAGGGTAATATCTTCAGGTAGATACGATATGTAATCTTTTGACGTATCGTTGAAAAAATCGGTTCAAGTGAAAGCTGAGAAAAAGTAGTAATGGTTACAAAAGTTAATTAATATCTTCTAAGCTTCGTGGCGAAGCTAAAATGTTTTTATCGTAGAATAAAAATTTTAAATTGTAAAAAAAATCTCATATAAAAAATTATAATGGGTCAAAAGTAATTAATTTAATGTGAGACACCTCTTAAATCTGTAATTTTTAACTTCTAAACTTACCCTCACTGACGATGGACCTATTATATAAGAAGCATTTATTAATCGTTCAGATTCATTTAACTTTTTAAAAAATAATTGTAATCCCGTTGTTGACCCAGCCGCTGTATTTCGTTTTAGAATACAGTCCCAATTACTTCTATTTGTAAATAAATTTTGTTCTATATCTATAGGATTTGTTTCCGGGCTACAATATAATTATTAATAATAATTTTTTTAGGTTAGACAAATATATAGAAATAAATAAATAATACCAATGAATTGCATCGATTGAGTTAAGAGAGTTAAATGAATAACAAAAACCTTCTTCTGTTCTTTGTAAACTAAATAATTCACAACATTTATAAAAATGGCCAATCCAATAACATGCGTTGAACACCTCATCACAAGTCGGCAATACCTATGAAGATATCAAGTTCGATATGCAAATTAATTTATAAGTTTATTTTGATTAAAGGTACAATAAATAATATACTAAAAATATATTATTTAAAATGCTGTTTATTTTTATTGGACGTCCAACAAAAGTGCTGTACAGTGCTTATATTTGACAATTAAACGGCAAAATAAATTAAGGTGTCAATGTTAATTAAAAATTTAAAATCATAATAATCATATATTTTATAGAATTTATTGCAATTATTTTTTAAGATTTAGATTATTTGTAATGTTAAAAATATATCACATTATTGTAATTTTATTTATTTACACATACGATGGGGGAGGATAGAAAGCTAAGACATTGAGCCTTATCAATAGTATTAACCTATATTTTAAGTAAATATCATAAAAAAAATTTTTGTTATTAAAATTAAATTGATATTTAAATTAAATTAAGTTGTTAATTAAAATTGTAAGTAATTACCTACAATATGCAATTGAAAACTAAAATATAATTTTTTGGTAAATATCTACAGATTTCTATGACTTCTGTCAGTTTCAAATGTAAAATTTCTGGTAAGCCACTGTTCATATTTATGTTTTCAAAAATTAGACTTATTTTATAAAACAATTAAAAGTAATTTTCTTAATTGATGACCTTCCCAGTTTGCTACTCATCAAGGAGAACTTGGTGAAAATTTATAGTGATTTTTTTTCTTGGTATTTGAAATTTAAAAAAATAATATACATAAATTTTTATCATCAAACCTTCAACATAAATTCTGTTATATTGATGCTAGCCAACTTATATATTAAGTTTTTTGATCCGTTTAGATAAGGAATCATTCTGCTATAAACTGGATGCTGAAAAAATGTTAAAGCGTTTAAAAAATTATCAAGTTCAGCTTCATTGTACGTATCGTTAATTCTTTCAGCAATGTATTCGTAAGCCAATGATCGTTTTATTTTGTCTATAGGACAAACACTTACAGCTGGAAATGGAATTAGATATAACGCTAAATGTGTATCTTTTACCGCGGTTACTGTCGGAGAAGCACTGAACTTCAGCCACATTGTATTTACTAAAAAACTAGCACAAAAAAAACTTAATAACACTATAACCAACCAACTACACCTAAAAATATAAATTGCGTTAATGAGTACATAAAAAAATTATTAGGTTTCTAACCGTTCAATTATATTAGAGTTATCTTTAAATATATACTGAACACCATGTAATGTACAATACCGAGCATACTCTTTAAAAACGCTTTTTAATTTCTTAGTTTGTGCTTTAGCTGTTCTTTCTATAGTCGTATAAGACCAAGCAAATTCTTTTCGCCAGAATTCTTGTTTAAGTTCAGAGTTCATACTTACTTAAAGTCAAACAACAACTAACGAACTGAGACGGTTTTTCTATTTTATTTATTTAGAGTTAATGGATAATAGTATAGGTAAGAACTTACAATAAAAGTATACACTCGGTGACAGTTAAGATACATTTAATGATGTATTATTTACTTTACATTATTTGAAAATCCAATGACTGTATTGACGAATATTTTCAACGCCCAATAAACAAACTCAACAACACTAAGTATACTAAATCCTAAAAATAAGTTAGCAACACCACCCAAAGCTACTAAAAAGTGAAATATACAAATAATTTGTTTTAATTCGTTAAACATTAATATAGATACATTAAATAGATACCCAAAAGATCTGTCCAAACAAATGTAATATCTCTTTGATACTTAGTAGCTCCTAAATTAATGTACGCAACATCTAGATAACCAAAATATTTCCATACTAGTGGATTTTGATCCAAAGAATAATTTATTTCTAGTTGGTATGTCGTTTCATAACAAGTGGGCCGACAATGTGTACAATTTAGAGAATGGTGAAGAAGTTTAGGTTCGAAACCTAATGTTCCTATAGGAGGAGTTAACAATCTCAAATGTCCTAAACAGTAAAAAAATTTATATAAATACATTGTTAAGGGACATATATCTTTCTACATTACTTGTCGCATGTAGTACACATTCAAAATCAGGAATACCGCAAACAGGGTATCCATCATCTACACAAAATTTTTTATTTAAATGGAATAATTTTTTCTTATTTACTTTAGAATTAACTAGTTGAGTACTTGGAGTAATGAAGAAGTATAAATGACAGCCACATTGATACAAAACATATTCTAAACGGCATTGTATATAACAAGAACTTTGAGTGTATACATGATATATATACAATTCTCTTTCATCTGGAAATACACAGTCCCGATGATTTACATCAACTTCTTTGACATTTTTGCTTGTAACAGTGATATCAGGTAAGACCATTATACTTAATCGCCGACCTTGTACAGAATCAAGCCACAAACCGTCACCAGCACTCGGAAACTGGTAGGAAGTATGCACTAATACCTATAATAATATTAAAACATTTATTTAATACATTATATGAAATCGGTTACCTTTGCTCCATCGACATCACGTTGTTCCATTCCTAAAGATTCCGAAGAATTAACTGCTCGAAGAAACACCTCTAAACCAGTAACTGTACCGACTGCAGTGTTTCTTCGAAGTTGACATCCAGGATACATAATATTATCCTCTTCTACTATACCTTCATTTTCAAGTACTTCTGACAACGGACTAGAAAATATATTGAAAATAAATTTATCAATGCTTTCCCGATCCAACTATATAATATGTCTACCAATATAAATGATTATTGAATACTATTTTCTTAATTAAGTAATAAAATTAATTAGTGATATTTTGAGGCATATAAGATGTATACCTATTTTTGATTTTGTAAATTAATGTATACCATTTAAAAATACAACAAATACGCTCATACACGATCTTATACGTTTGTATCATTTTAAACAAAATTGTCTACCTTATTCCATTAAATATTATTATAATATAATAATATTCAATATTTATTTATTTATAATTATTTTTTTCAATACTCCCTCTTTAAAAAAATATGGACATCAAATAAAAAATAATATTTTTTTCGAAAATAACTATCATATTATGATAGTTATCTTCGATTCGGGACTCTCAAGTCTCTAATAAAACGTATTACTCTATGTTTTTCTTACGAAAACACCTCTGAATTTAATTGTCATAGTTATGTAGTATTCATACAATAATAAAATGTTTGTAAAAGTAAATAACTTTAAAAATATTATGAGGAAACATTCACTCAAAAATGTTCGAAAAATTATATTTTTCTTCTAAATTCGTGTGACATTTTTAAAATTATGCATTTCGATTAGATATTAACAGGTTCATTATTAAACGTGTTTTTCTATCACTTCCTTTTTTAGAAACTTTTAATTCATTTAAGGTACGTTTTTATAAAAAATTTTATTTTTATTAAATGGAAACTCCTATATTAATATTATTTAATCATTTTTATAAAGATCCAAGATCTAAAATCAACTTAGCCCCTGGACTTGATATTGATTATTGATATTTGTAAATTATTTTTGAGATCCTTTAAACTTTATATACTGAGAACATTTTTACTTTTGCAGCGTACCAATGTTTTCCTCTTTCAGAAGTCAACGAATTAAATGAATAACAAAATCCTTCCTCTGTCCTTTGAAGAGAGAACACTTCACAACAATTCATTCGTTGTCCATGCCATTTACATAAGCCCAAAATTTCATCACATGTTGGTAATGTTGCTAACATAAAATCAGTCACATTCACATTTTTAAAAAAACGAAATATAGTTTTGGATAAATTAATATGATATTCCATTCGAAAATAAGTAGGTTGTTGCATCATTGATAACGCACTCATTATATGTTCCACTTGTGCTCGAATTGTATCATTTTCCACGTTAACGTATCTATGTTAAAAGATATAATTTAATAATAAGAGATGTGTCCTTATAATTAATATTATTATTAATAATGTTATTATATCAATAATATCATTTCATATTATCAACTTAAAGGTAAACTAATTAATTTATTGCTAAGAATGTATAAGTTAGTAGCGCATTGGGCTACCGGGAAATTCCCAATGGACCACTTCTTATGTTTATGTATACTATACAGAGTGTTCGGTAATTAAAAAAAACAGGTAAATTGTTACAAACAATGAGATCGATAGAAACCCGTTTCCTTATTATGTATATTATATTATTATTATTAATTTATGTGATAATTTCTATATAAGACTTTGGAAATTTGAATATAAGGACCACCCTAATGTAAAAAGATATGCACGAACCTTAATTTTATGACTTGACATGGCCCAACTATCTTCAGAAAGAAATTCGATTTAACCTAACTATTGATTAATTGATAAATTTTTCCCATTCTAGACCCAACCAATTAGTTAACAAACTTTAAGCCCTAATCCTTAACCATAAAATATTTTCTCTCTTCCAAAAATATTTTTACATGACACGTGGAGAAACGGTACTAATCATTGGCATATTAACTAGTTTAGGCAATAGAATTTAATACTTAATAAAATTGTATGTATTATTTTGGTTTCAGAATCAACTATGAGATTTAATATAGAAATAAAAGCCTATTTTTCAGAACCTTAAAAAGATTACGAAATAACAAATAAATAATTGTCAATAACTAGAATAATTACAATTTATCTTAATTTTTGAATGGGTAAAATTTCATACTAGGAATATGATATACTCTCAAATACTCCTCTCAGTACTTAAAACAATCAAAGACATATATACACATTTTTATTTATAAGGTCATTCTAAATATAATTTTTTTGGGCAAATTTTATCCCTTAGTCCACTACTGGTGTGAGATATGCCTTCACGCAAGACCCCATGCCTTAAGAGGCCCCGTAAACTGAGTAAATGATCAAAAAGCGGTTCTTCTTTCCTTTAAAAAAATATTAAGAACCCCTTGAAATAATTTCGCACAAGGGCCCGAGGTATTTAGCGTTAGCCACGACTATAAAATTTCCAAGAAACTTTCTCTTAATAGATTAAGTCAAAACATTTTTGTATTTATAAATATCAATGACAATGTTCTATTGTCATTGTAATTATTAAAAACAGAATCATATTAAGATATATAAACCCGCCAAGATTTCATACTTTTATCAGCCCATTAACTGGTAAAATCAGAACAAATTAAAAATATGATATTTTTAACCAACTGATATTTTTATTTTTCAACTTTATTATAATATTTTTTTTCAAAATTAATTAAGTACAATAGACCAAAATATTTCTCGATAGCCTCCTATAAGAATGGGTCATCGAGATTTTCTCAGTACCTTGCTGATACCTTATTTGAGCCTATTAAAATGATTAATAAACCAGGTACTTTATGTAAAATGAGAAATAAATGTCAAAATTATTACAACTTACTTAGAGAGATAATTAAATCCTACTGTTTTCTTTACTTTTATTGCTGGACAAACAGTAATCGAAGGAAATGGAAACTGATAAAGTGGTACGTGAGTATCTTTGACCGCTAATATTGTTGGAACAGCTCGATATCGAAGCCATAATTTAGAAGCTATATAACAAGCGGACATTCCGCAAATCGCCAACATAATCAACCAAAATATTCTTGAAAAAAATAATTATTTATAAACAAAATTTAATGAGCATTTGTTATAAAGCGTCAAAAGACGATATTATTCAACCCCCAATTTTGATGTTGTTGTTTATTTATATAAAAATTGGTGTTATCATCTAACTAGAATATTTTTATCGAATCCATTTCTATCTTTTAGCTTTTATCTACATAATGTTTCATAAATACTCTAACATCATATAAATCTATTTGCCTAATCTATCAAAACGTAAATTTAACATGAAATTTGTGTTAACTAATTGAATATTAAATCTTTTTACAATACACTTATAATTTTTATTATATCACCACTAAAATCACTAACTATTTCTTTTTACAACCTTTGATACGATTGAATATCATTATGCCATAAAAAATGTAGATACTTTCTATAAATATTCAATGTTAAGTCTAAAATTTTACTCATCACAAATAAAATCATCAAATTAGACGTTTTTAAAATCCATTACACAGTAGCATCATAATTTTTACACTTTAAAAATTTTTTTTTAGATATAAAAATACATAATTTAGTCTTTTGATAATGATTAATAAAAGTTTTTATGTAATTATAATTATACGGTATTACTTTATAATAACTCAAATGTCATATATTTTTTAATATTACCATTTAAGTTTTATACTTATCTTTTAACCGCCCACAAAACATAAAACTTGATTAAACACATTATTCATAGTCACTGTGATGAATATCATATACACAAAATAAACTTGACACTATCTACACAAATACTCAATACCTAGTGACAATGTATACAATTACAAATAGCTTTTATTGAAGCTTTTCCAAGTACAAAACAATTGTATTGTTGACATGGGTTGTGAAACTAAATGATCTTTATTGAAACCGGAAGTTAATTTTTAGCTTGATAGCAATGCAATTATAACTGGGGACTTAATTTACACTTCTTTCGAAAAGTTATCTTTCCAGTAACTCACTTCTCCAACGGATTAGCATTGGTCATATAGCGCACACCGTGTACAGAGCTATGAGCTGTATATTCGTTGATCAACACACATGGAGATTTTGCTTTGCTACTCCAGTTTGTGTCACCATTTGAAATCGACCACATACCATTACTACTTCTGGCCTGACGTCCGTACCTGTCAATTCTCTTTCCAACCGAACAACTTAAATTTGTTCTCGCTATCCGCGATGATTCCATGACCGCAATGTTCGGTGACCGGTATATGATATAAGGGCTGAGTTTCACCGCATTGCTGCAACTTGTCTTACCACAAATTATGTGCGGGTATTTGCATACAATTAAGCACTACTACGATATTCGCAAACATGTAATAAACATATTGGTAGCTGTCAGCAGTACATTTAAGCGTATTCCTTTATTCTTATAGTGACTTTGACACTCATTAATTTTTTTCTACACAATAATCTTTTTCTAGTTTTAAATTATGGTTTTTTTTTTTATTTTGGTACCCTTTTCAATTCCCTTCGAGCCCATACCAGTGAATTATAATAATGATAATCAACTATAAATTACATTATGACATACAACGTTACATTGTTACTAGGAACGCACAATAAAAAATATAATACATAAACGTACTATAACATCATTATAGATTATATTATGCACCTAAATGATAATCATTACAAACGATAATAATCGAGTACATAATAGTCTTCATGCTGGTCATTCAAAGGCGGAGCGTTGCAGTGAGGAGGTTGTAACCGCGTGCCGCTGTTTTCGCTTTGGAGGTAATCGTCTGGAAACTACCAAAGCTCAGTACCGTTACCGTTACCGCCATGAAAGCAGTACCGACATCGTACTTTTGTTCAATACTAATGTTCACGTTGGTTCACAACACGAAAGGTTGGTCTTTCAATAAATCCTTTCGAACAATTTTATTTTATATTATTTTATTTTATTACAAAATATTGTAAAGTATTTTTTTTTTAATTTGTAGAGCTTGATGTAGTTCCTCATAATATTTTATTGACACAATGATTATCGACAAAGATAGGGCAAGGATTAACGTTATGAAAATTTTCATAATATTTCTCACAAAATATTATTAAGAAAATAAAAATAATTGATAATTAAGTTAAAAAAAAAACATTTTTTGTGATTGAACTATGTTTTAGCCCCAACAATATTTTCATAGAAGAATCACTGAAAAAAATCACTTAAACAATAATAACAATTAAAGTACTTTTCATTGTATTTACATAGTGTGCTCTTTTATGTTTCATAGGAGATAATATTCAATAATACAATCAATGTAGTTTTGTTAATTTTTAAAAAATATTGATTTCCTGGATTTAATAATTTAATATTTCGTTCTCCAAACATATAATTTTTGTAAAATTTATAATTTATAAATATTTATAATTTTTATTAGATCAGTAGAATAGCATTATTGAGGTTGTAAATTAATTAAAAATTCATTTTTCACCCACATTAAAAATATTTTTACGTAATAGTAAATATAATTATCTAATTTTTCGAGAGTGCTGGGTACTTTAAATCTCTTCATAACACAGTATCTAATTTTTCTGTATTGACAAGGGAAAACAATTTTTTGACTCAATATTTTCTACATAGGAACTCAACTGATATCTTAGACGCTTGCATGAATTTTTTATAATCCATTATCAACCTTAATGTGAAAAAATACACCTAAAATGAAGACGTGGTCAAAACTGTTCTAAATAAAAATTATTATAGTTAGGCAGTTTGTTTGAAAATAGATGAAAATTTAAATAGGTCAATTATTTAATGCATTATTTTCTGCTCCTTCTCATAAAATAAATAATGAATGCGTGTTTGTTTATTCGGAAAACAGTAGAAATTTTAGCAGGTAAACCATTAAAATTATAGTAATATAAAGAAATTATGCTTAAAATATTATACTTAAGTGTAATAATTAAGTGTGATATTTTGTGAACAGTTGTTGACAAAATATCAAATATGTCTTATGATATACATACTATAAAAAACTTAATTAAATTATTTATAGTTTATGGCTCTCTATTTTTACGTTACTTTTAATATTCTACATTAATTTATAATGAAATTTGTTTTGAATTATTTTAAAATATTTTATACACTTAATAATCTAAAACTTCTATAAAATTCAGTACATGCAATAATGCATCAAATGTCCAAATTATGGTTAAATCTCATAAATATATCATGTTAGACTACTGAATTTTAATATTATGAAACATTTTTTTAAACTATTACACCTAATAATTTTCTCATTGATAAAACAACGACAGAATTTATTAAAAATAATTAACAGACGTTATTAATGGGATTGTAGAAGTATAAATTACCTAGCTAATGTAAGGTATGTTTTTTGTTAAGTCTTATCCTTTTTAAAAGCAAATAATTCATGTACTCGTAAACAAAACTGTAATTTACATTTTTAATTACCAAGTAGCAAATTTCAAATGATCATTAATTATAGTATTTTAATTGTTAAATCGATTAATTTTTACTATTAATGTAAAGAAGTCCTTTGAATTAACTCTAGATCTTAAGTGTCTGTTTGACTGATAAAACGAACTTCATTTAGTTTTTATTTGAGCTTACATTTATTTCAAATAGTATTTTTCGTTGTCATTTCATTATAAAAATACTATAATTTTTTTTAAATACTAATTAGGCTATCAAGATTGCATTAAAAAAACCTGTTAATTTTTTTCGTTGAGCACATTTTATGAAACAAAAAGTTATGAGATAGTTTTAAACATGCGGACTTTTGTAAAATAAAATTCCTCAAATTAAAAAAAAAATATTTTAACTAAATAATGCGCTACTCAATAAAAAAGAGCAGTATATGAGTAAATCTCGTTTTGTATGTATCACTAAGTGATAATAAATAAAGAATTTTTTTTATTGAAAAAATTGTGATCTTAATAAAAGTATCTTAAGCACACTAAAAATAAGTTGAACATATGAATTAGTAAAATATGAGTGTAACTTTTTGTAGTGTGCAAAGTGCAAACTGTCTGAAGTAAATAACCAACGATTTTTAAAAATACGAATGACCACCCATAGTCACGTCAAATCAAATACATTTTTCTCTAAACCGAATGACAACCATAAATCACACCAAGGGTAGCTTGACTATTCGCCGAAATAATAAAAAACATAATAAGAATAAAATCCAGTCTTAGCTAGTGTTCGCCATTACGACACAGTATAAAATATTTGATAAAAAGCGAAATTGTTTGGTTCTATTCCTATCTTTAAAAGTTTGAATTTTGTTGAACATAAACGACATATTCTTTTACAAACTGCATTAATTTTATGTATAGTGTTTTTATAACTTACAATACTACTTGTTTATTTTTGTTGTTGATAGATTTACTGTTCAGTATCAAAAAATAAAAACCGCAATAAATGTAAGGGCTATCCTTATTCATCCCTTGGTTATGGGCGTATAAGGATGTTTACATGACCAACAATTTATAATAACACTTTGAAATATAACAAATATCTTTTGAAATAAAAAGTATAACAATAGATTATCTTGAAAATGAATTGGTAATTTTTTATTTTCTCCGCCCTCCTCTCTTTCCTAATTTTTACCTTAAGAGCAGTACTACGAACCGAAAAATAATAAAATCATTTAATTTCTCGTTATAGTTTTAAGTTAAAACAAGACTATTATCACTATTTTTAAATACTTTTTAATTAAAAAGTCATATTCTAGTATTTTTTAAGTCGCAAAAATTTTTTATTTGAAAAATTCACTTTTTTTCAACTTGTTTAAACGTTTTTAATAAACAAAAATCTTTAATAAGGTTTGTTTCCTTAATAAATAATAAACTGTAGGTATAAATTCTCTAGTAAAATAAAAAGCAATTTATAATCTAACTGTATCATAATTTCAGCTCTTAACTAGTACTATAATATTTAACTAATAATTTTAAATATATTACTTCCTTATATAGATTACAATTTGGCCCGTTTGATTTAATTGTTTAAAAACTTTTAAGAATGCAAATTTTTTTTTTAATTGTGTATTTTGACATACTTTTCAAATATAAGTAAGGGTTTTATTTAAATAAAAGTCTCCTTCCATTCATTCAACAAAATTCAAAAATATATTGTTTTGATAAAGAATGATTTTAACTGTAGTTCATCGTCAACTCCTTAGCCTCTATTACACGTGTTTAGAATCGATTCTACATTACAATGATTTGACAGAATTATTATATCAGCTGTTGTTGACCTAACGTAACCTCATTATGACTGAGGAAATCTGTAGGAGGCAATATGTATCACTGTTAACGTTCTTGTAAAGTCACCCATCCAAGAACTAACAGCAATTAGCACTGCTGAACATTAGCGCTAAGACGGCGACTGAATGATCCACTGATATCACTGATTGATACCACGCCCCATAATTTTAACTATAGTTATTAATTTATTTTATTTAATCCTATTTTAAAAATACATAAGGTACGTATTTACGGTTGAAACAAAATGAGATTTTCTTTATTTTTTTTTATTTAAGTAATAATAAAAATATCCCGTACTCGTATTTTTACTAAAACACCATATTATTTATTTGTGTCAAAATCCTCTAAAAGTACTGAAGAATATGAATATTTTATGAGAAAAATATACAGTATTATGTGACTACTTATTTTCTATTGATTCTTGGTAACTAAAAACATTTAAAGACATTACTCCAGATCAAAAATAGTACATATTTTTCAACTAGGCATTCATATTTGTTTGTCAAACTAAAAAAATATGATTTATATCATGCTAAACGCAATGTGAGTTTTATACATTGATTACCCTATACGATTTTTCTAAATTTCTTACTTCGTGTTTAAAATATACTTGGGTGTGAATGGCCTTTTCCATGTTGTAATTTAAAAACTTAAATGCATTTGCATAGATTCAAATCCTTTTTATGTCGTACCGTAACTGAATAGAAAATGTAGCATTAGCATAATTTACTAGGTTTATAACGCGCTCGGGATCTTAATACTTTAATTGCACACTTTTTTCTTTGAGTTTTATGGTCTAAATATATTATTGTTTATAGTAACTTAATGTAATGAGCAATTCGACATCTAACTTTCTATAATTTCCACATTAGGAACTAAAAGTAAACATATTTAAAAAACATTATAATATTTAAGAACAATCGAAAATTTTAATAAGTATAAAATATTTTTTATAAATGTATGTTAACATTTATAAATATTTACTAATTACACGTTGGTATTTTAATTTGATAATCAACTGTTTCAAACCTAACTTTTCATTATTTTTTTTTAAATTACTTAAAATCAATTTTTTATTAATGAATGACCCTAATCTAAGCGCTAAAAAATGATTTTCAGAGAAATCTATTTTTCATTTCTAAACTGTCTTACTTTAAAATTTAAAAACAATTTTTGTTTTAAGTTTATTGTTTATAAAATTTAGCATTTTTTTTTGTTAGAAGCACTGTTTTAACTTTAAAACTACGGTTTCTACTTAAAAATAATAATAATAAAAATTATGACCAAGGGTCTAAAAGGATTATTTTCAAAATAAAAATTCTTCAAAATATCAACTTTACCTTTGCACATCAAACAAGTGTTTTCGTACATTAAAATACATTTTAAAAAATCTCTGTGCTTTAGCTGTTGGCTCAATATTAAAAATAGATCCTTTATAATGAATTTTTTCTTCGTAATAAAGTTACTACCTATTCAGTTTACTTGTGGTCCTTTACGACCATGTTTATTCCATTCGTTAATTTAATAAAAAATAACAATAAAATGAACACAAAAGTATAAAGCGGCTAAAGTAAATTACACAAGTCATCAAATACGATGCACTTTATTCTTTGTTTTCAATATTATGAGCGTGTTTAATACTTACAGTAATGTTGCGGCTGTAATGTATTATTATATTCTCACTCTTAAGAGAACGATTCATTAGGAAGGTGGTGGCAACGTTTATGACTGCCGTACGTTTACCAAATCAATCATTTGACCTTTCAACACGGTCGATAGCCTCACATCAGCTCGTAAGCTCCAACAACCTATTATTATTATGATTATTTTACGTTTCGTTTTAACGTATTATAATCATATTTTTTCTACAAAGATATTGTTTCGAGTACGGTAGCGAAAGGACAAAAGCCTGCTACTTTAACCACTAAATTACACGTTTCGAAGTCATGCGAACACCCTAACGGTCGCACCATATTATAGGGTTACTACAGTTTTAGAACGCCAAGTGAAAACAAGAGTTTCCATATTTTGGTCTCTATTTTATGTTATGTGGACATGTCGAACGATTTAGTATAAGCAAATCGAAAACTTAATATCGGTCTCGAAAACAAAACTGTCTCATTAAAAAAAAAGTTGCAAGACATTAAAGTACTATCACGCGATGGTGCAAAAAATACCCTTTGAGTTTGTTAAAAGAAAAAATTTAATTATTTTTAAGGAATAATTTATGCTAACCAATTTGGCCACTGCTATCACGTTGTAAGATCTTTTTTTGTTTTTTCATTGATAATTATATACATACATTTATCGAGATAAATGTTTGTACATAGAATGTATGTGATATATCTTTATATATTACATTGCGCGTATAAGTGATATTTATTTAATATATCTAATCTCTGCTGGCCTAGTGCCCAGGTTGTCGAACGCATTTCACTATGTAATCATTTGTTATTATAATAAAAATGATACAAACTGCCTAAAACGTCCAAGTTTTGGCCGTTACCTCCGAGAAATTTTGACTAATAACACCTTTAATTAACACATCAGTGGAGGGTTAAAACCGTTTCTCCTCTACCCATCGTTTTATTCTGTCCCAAAAGCGGAAAGTGTTTTGGTCTAAGGACATAAATTAAACAAACGTCGGACGGGCACTATACGAAGTGTGAAAGCACGTGCGTGACTTATCATTATCAATCGTCATGTACATGGAGGTATTGATGTCGTTTCTTTCTCGAGTGTAAGTACAAAATTGGTTGAAAAAAAAACGAGGTAAGTGAAGAAGGCCGTCAAGTGGCTGTTGTTCTTGTTCAGCAAAATTAAAACATCACAACGGGCGACTGCAAGAGCACATGAACAGACAACAGCCAAATGGCGTGACTACCCGAATTAAAATATCACGCCGTTACAGTAGCAGAAACCCAACCACAAGACCGGGGTTCCTATATTGCCCACTTGGTATTATTATTATTATTATTATTGTTATTAAAACATGGTATTCTTATACATACATACCACTTGTGCATGTATGTGTATTAAGAATTTATTGCGGGAAAGGGTAGCACGCGAATCGCGCTTAGACACACAACGCGACCGGGTACGGTATATCCTTTTAAGAAAAAAAACCAGTAGCCGTAATCACTAGGGTATACTTCAGAACAATTTGGCTAGTACCGAGGGTGTTTTTCTTCTTTTAACTCCTTTCTCTTAATTACATTTCACTTAATAACATTAGGACACGGTGTTGCCGAATTCATTGCATATGTAATTAGGTCACTATACAATGCGGGCTAACACCACCAGACAGATGTATATTGTAGACAATAGAGATACTTTTTAAAAAAGCGAAATATGAAACATATAACTATGTTATTTTATAAACACATGATAATTATTATTATTTGCATAGTAGTGGGTCAATGTAATATAACTTAAATTTTGTAAATAATTAAAACTAATATAGTTTGCAATCTTATTGTAAGTAATTAACACCCCAAGGTTTAATATGATTTCAATTAGATATCTTATCATTTGTTTATAATTTCAGAAATTTTATTCAGTGAAATACCTTTTTTCGGAGACACCATGGACAATTTAACAGTGACTGTTGGACGTGATGCTATTCTAGAGTGTGTCGTTGAATCACTGTCTACTTTTAAAGTAATCAAATATTTTATTTAAAATTAATACAGTTGATTTATTGATATATATGATGTTTTAATAATATCGTTTAAACAATATAAAAAATAAATAAATCGGTAAAACTTTAATTTCATACGTGTTAATGCTACAATTATTGCAAGAAAAAGCGAAAGTTTAACAAATTTTTGGAAGCTTATCAGTTAAATATTTGAAATGCTATTAGATCATAAAAAAAAGTAATAATAATTATTTAATTGTTCTGTAATAGCAATTTAATTTAGTATTTTTCCAAACTCATATTTGAGTTAAGTATTATATACAAGAGTGATTATTGATAACATGATTTTTTGCTCTACTACTAAAAAGTGCAATAACTTTAAAAATATAAAACATTAATTATGTCATATATTATAATTTTTTCTTTTCGAAAGTTAATAGTATCCTACGTTTTATGATTTTCCTCCAAAAAATGGTTCTAACCCCCTCTTACTCCTATAAAATTATGTCAACTTTTGTTTTTTTAACCAGACACATATACATATATATTTACCTAGCTTAAAAATAAAAAAAGCATCTATCTAAGAAATTGACTGGTTGATAACAACTTTTGAACCATTATTTTTAAAGATATTAGTATTTTTATACAAAGACGGTAGAATAGTAAGGTTCTAAAATGTTAAAAGATAAAAAAAATAGACCTGCGCTTCATCTCTAGTCTTTATATTAAAGTGTTGTAATAACTTACAAAATACTGGTTTAATAGATATTATTGTCCAGTCATTATCTTAGTTAGATCATTATCTTATTTGTCAGTTGATTAAATATATATAATTCAATACTATTTTACAGAAAGTAAAATTATGTCATATTATATGCTTTAAAAATATGGCAAAAATAAAAATTCACTGAAACTATAAATATATTTATCCAACTAAATAATTTCTAAAATTTTTATCCTAAGTAAAAACTTAGATGTAAAATATGTTTAATGACAATTAAATACTTTTTGATAAATTCCACTAATGCTCCTACCTACTCCAGTAACATTTCTTTATAAATTCCTTCTTGTTATATTCAAACTATTTTTAAGTATTTTAAAAAACATCAAGAATAAAATACTACGCTCTGTTCGCAAATAATTGTCCTTCAGTCAATACACTAATATTTATTTAGGCTTATGTTAATATTTATAATTGATGAATTATGTATTCATGTACTATATTATTAAATAATGTCTACAACCATTTGATTTTATTCTTGGTATAACGTTTTTAGCAAACAAAACAAGGATCATTTTATAATACACTGTAAACAAAAATTTAATAATACACGTATATTGTACGTCTTTTATAAATCAATTATTATAATATCACAATCCTATGTAAAAATTTAAATGGTCAAAAAATACGCCAAACAGATTTTTATTTATTTATCATATTATATTGTTGTAATCTTTAACAGTTTTCTAAAACTTATTTTTATACGATTTTCATTGCTATCTATTTTTATTGAAAGAAAGCACAATAAAATTATCTGAAAATCAAACCATATTATAACTTTATAAGATGTAAGAATCATAACTTTTTTTTCCAAAGTTCCATTTCCATTTGTTTTGTGATTTGTTTTACTTATGATTCTAAACACGACCGGAAACTACATTAGGACAAGACCTCAAAATTTTGAAATTAGATTGCTTAGTAGCTCAAAGGAATATCATTTTGTTTCTTGTAGTCTTTGAAACTTGTTAAATGTTGACACTGGGCTCATTCAAAAACTTAATACTTAGTGTATGTTTTGGGAGATATTTCTATACATGTGCACACAAAAGTCAATTACATGTTTTAAATTATCTTTAGATACTTTACAGAATAATATTGTTAAAAGTTTTGTTATTATACTGTAGGGCAGTCATTAAAAACTATTTTCATTTCCTTGTAATATTTTGTTAGAATAAACTAATTAATAAAACTGTGGATAAAAAACGTTCCTCATTAAACTGATACTCGCGTAATGACGGTGTATTCTATTACCTTGAAAATAGATTTAATTAAGTAAAAGTATAAACATATCATCAAAAAGATAAGCCTCTGGGCCTCATATAATATAGTTTTTGTTTGTGAAACCATCAGCAATTTGTCAATATTTCATGAACTTGTTGATACTTTTTTATTTATAAAATTATATTGTACGTTTATACTAAAAGTAATTCTTCAGTTGCGTGTAGTTAATTCAAAATACACGATTAAAATCAACATTACAGCGTGGTTTAATTTATCATAAAACACCATAAAACACTTATAAATAAATTATAGGAGCAGAATAGACATACAGTTATAAACTCTACAACCGTATTATTAAACCTTATATAGTGTCACAAAAATCAAAACAAGTTACCTGTATAGCATATATGCTTTACAAAAAAACATAAAATATTATAACTTAAATCATATTCTGATAAAATATATTTTATTTTTTGCGATATTTAAAAAAAAATTTAGATTTTATAATGTTTTTTTTTTATAATTTTCATATTTGTATTTTTACAAAAAAAAGTTCCGAGGTAGATAAAATTTAATAATTTAATGAAATAAATAATCTTAAATGAAAAGTTATAAAATAATGAACTATCTTAAGCAATTATAGTTAAAACCTTTATTTTAATAAATAAAAATTTTAATCGGTTTTATTTTATATTAATCATTTTATTTTATTTATTCTAAAAATCACAATTATTCGAATAAGAATCTTTATGGCATGTCTAAATTTAGAGTTTTATTTAACAAATGGAAACTTTTTTAATGCACACAGAATTTCAATCTCCATTAATATAATTATAAAAACCTAAATACTTTTTTTGCTTTTAAGAGCCTATACAAGTAATTAAAAATTAAAGCGTAAAAAATGAAGCTTCTATGTGAACCGAAAATATCTAAATACTTATTTCACATAAAAAAAAAATAAAATCTTATATTATAGTTTCTTTTTTTTTAAAAAAAAATCTCTCCAACGCGTCTGAAATTTTTGAACTATTTATTATTTAATTTTCTGCTTGAAAATATGAAATTGTTCCATTTTCGTATTCCGAACTAAAATTAATTTTTTTTCTATATTATTTATTAGATAAACGTCCAAATTATCCTTTGTTATACTTCGAATAGTAATAAGTAAATTATTGTTAATAAAATTTAGTGTTGTAATGACTAATTGAATTATACAGCATGACTCTGTAAAATTAACAGATATTAAAGTCAGATAAGCAAGAAACCCTGGACATAATTTTCTCGTGGGAAAACCCTTACATGTATTACGGCAACAGCGGACGGATCTTAAAGAAGTCCAGTCAAAGTCATTGTTTTCGACATCACCCCTTGTGACATTTCGAAGACGAGCAAAATGTCAATCGCATACAACAGGAATACTCAAATGTCACAAAGTGTCTTAACAATAATTTGGAGACTTTTTTTTTTTCGTCGTTTTTGCACCTTCGTTGACTGAAAAATACTTGTATTATTATATTTACCATTGCCAAATGTGCGTTAAAATTTAATCGATTTTCTCGTTATTACTATTTCGCTTAAAACAACAGTTGATAGTTATCTGTAAAAAAATACAGTGAATTCAGAAAAATATTTGGATATAATACAATCTACAGAGGTATTGTTTTCGTATCGTAATACACTGGGAGATCCACACTCTTTTCCCTTAGATACTTCAATATAATACCTACTTCGTATTGTACTCATTTATCTGGTTTTTTATAATTATTGTATTGTTATATTTTTCAGCTTTTATGGAAGTTTTTCATTTATGCCTACATATTACATGATTTCGTATTGTTGGGATATGGTTGTAGAGAAACGGGGGATAACAATAACAACATCCGAGACTGGGGAGATGGTCACCGTATTCACACGCAAACGTACTATCTATTGTACTCCAGGGATTTCTGTCATTTATTATTTATTTATGGGCAGCATTGCTAATTATTCGAGCACACCCGTTCATGCTAATTTTCGAACATTTCCTTTGATTTTTGTGTTTACTAGGATTATTATATGATATCGATTGGATTTTATAAAGCTTGTAAATTAAATGGTTAGTAGTGCGTTTAAAATCCTCCACCGTGGACAAATCAAAATATTCATTACTTTAACAATGTTCCATTCTAATTTATAATTATTTAATTTATTAATCTAAAATACTGTTATTTAATAAGTCATATTTTTTTAACACATATTTTATAAGCTTAAATTTTAAACTTGTAAGACAAATTAATTAATTTTTTTAATATGTAAATTTTATTAATGTTTGAAAAAGATAATTTAATAATTAACTCTTGAAAAAAATTAGTTAACTATTTTATTTAACTAGCTACTACTAATATTGAGTAGTTCTTTCTGCTGAGGGTTAGTAGGCATTTTCTATAAACATATTATAAGTATTTCTAAATAACTTCAATGATTTTAATAATTAAAATGAAAATATAACAAAAATTACAAAAGTGTATTACAATATCAAAAACATGTATTCAAAAAAAAAAAAAATTTGTCGAATAATAAAGTAAACGAGATAAGGAGAAAATAACTTGAAAATGATTTGAACATCACTAATTGGTTAAAATGCTACAAAAATGTGAACACCCGCTACTTCAAAGTAAAGCTCAAAGCCGCTGAATAATAATGGTCGATTGAAAATAATTAAAACAAAACGTTATGCGGGTTTCGCGTGCGTTTTAATTATTGTTGGTCTAATTCTTGTTGACGGACTTTTAAGTTGTGCAAATATTATATTTCACGCCTACATCAACGTATTCTCCATATTTAATATTGTATCAAATGATTTTAAAGAAAACAAAACTTTGAATGTCGATTTACGTGATTTTGTCACATTCACTTGTTTATTTCAGGTTGCGTGGCTTCGAGTGGACACACAGACCATATTGTCTATTCAAAGCCATGTAGTGACGAAAAACGAAAGAGTGGTTGTAACTCATACTGATAGAAGAGTGTGGAGATTACATATTAGAGATGTCCGACCTACCGATCGCGGATTTTACATGTGCCAGATAAACACTGATCCGATGAAAAACCAAATTGCATACCTTGATGTAGTAGGTTCGTAGAAATTATTTTTTCATTAAACCTATCATAGTTTTCGATTTAAAATTATAATATTAAACTCTTTTAAACAACATGTCTAGATAATATATAAACTATATATAAATATATAGTTATGATGTCATTATGTTTTCTAGAATAAATCTAATAGATGTAAATAAACTATTGATTCTGAGGTTGTTATATATTACACGTTATTTTATTATTTATTATATGTTATTCATTTTATTTGTTCGTAGTGCCACCAGATATTCTAGATTATCCTACAAGCTCGGATATGGTTGTACATGAAGGCAGTAATGTAACATTGCAATGTGCTGCTAGTGGTTACCCTAATCCAACTATTACTTGGCGTCGAGAAGATAATAAAAACATTACCCTGTCCAACATATTAACTGGTACTTTCCTATCTATTTGAAAAATGCCAACTTTTAATAATCATAGGTTATTTGATCTCAGGAAATATTGTTTTTTTTAATTTAAAACTAAAGTAAATATATAATAGGCTATTTTACATTTAATGAGCTTCAGTGAAAATAGTAATTTTTTTATAAAAACAACTTAAACATTGTATAATTATAAAATAATAATATAAGAACTAATCATAAGAAGTTTTTTTACTAAATTTTTAACTAAAGCAGTTATAAAGAAAGAAATTTTTCTTAACTTTAATATTTTTGTCAACAAAATATTACATTGTTGATTGTAAAATAAAGAAATAATAAATGTATACTATTATTGAAAAATATAGCTAGCATAAAATGTAGTGGTCGAATTACTCATTTTAAATTAAATAAAAATTTATCCTAAATAAAAGTATTCCTAACTCAAAAGTTAAGATAATGACTGTCTCTATAAAAAAAATTTTTTTCTATTTTAAAAGTTCTAGATATGAGATAAAAGTAGTTTAAAATTGTTATAGAGTAACATCACTAATGAATGAACAATAAAGAGTTTTTGGTCTTTTAAAGTTCTTTAATAATTTATATTTTAATAGTACACTCATAAAGTTAATACATATTTGTTCGATAGAAAATTTTCAATAATAATAATGTAATAATATTTATAGTTAACTTAACACAAACATTTAAATTTGTTATTAAATGTTGAAAATTGGAATTTTCCGGTAAATAAACAATTAAAAATATTATATCGACAATTGTGATATTGCAGTAGAACTTAATTTAGATATTTTCTTTGTAATAAAAACTATACACAGCAATTTGTTATAATTATATTAGAATTTTTTTTAGTTAGAACCTCAGTGGTGTTAGTTCAACGGTAGTATTCATGCAATGGTGATATTATTCTAATTGATAAAACTAACTTTGTAATCATAAAAATAAAACGTTAAAAATCTTAGACTGAATTTTTAAATGTACTATATAGCCTAAAATTATCGATATATAACCAATTATGTGTAAATTTTAATTTAAAAAGTATACCAAAATTTTCACGTTGACATTCATGATTCAAAATTGCATGACTATAGCGCCGGCATTTAACCGTTTCAATTTTTTAAATAATTTAAAACAATTTATTATTATATTTACTACAAAATACAAAATATTTTGAATATTAACTATACCGTCATCACAGGTCCAAAGGAAATACTTAAACAATTATGTATATCAGTTATAGTTTCTATATTTTATTCTAATACTAATTAAACATACTCATAAAATGAATTTATATTTAATTTAAGAGATAGTTACTCACAAAGATGAATAATTAATCAATATTTTTATTTATTATCCTATAAATAATAGGAATAACCAAATCACTCAGTTTTAGGTAACGAATAACCTTTTAGACTAAATTATATCTACTTTAATTTTTTATTTTGTAGCAAGTTAAAAATAAATAGATCATTATTCAAAAATTTACAAAAATACCATTTTGCTCAAAAAAGTTAACTATTAAATGTTATAACAAACTAATAAAATTATTTAATTGATTATATAAATTTATTTTACATAAATATTTTATATTTAATTCTGATTTACCCATCAAGTATCAGTTGTTGAAAGTCCAACATTAACGTTTCACCGCGTAACTAGGATACAAATGGGTTCATATTTGTGTATAGCTTCAAATGGAGTGCCACCAACTGTAAGCAAGCGAATTACATTAATCGTTCATTGTAAGATCAATATTAAATTTTACATTGATTATCCTATTCTAAAAACGTAATATTTTATAGTTGCTCCGATGGTATGGATTCAAAATCAACTAGTAGGTGCATTTATAGGTGATCGACTTTCTTTAGAATGTCTCGTTGAAGCATTCCCTAAGCCCATTAATTATTGGTCGTCTGACAATGGAAATATACTTCTACCTCAAGGTGTTTTTTAATTTTTTACATAAAAAATATTTATAATTAATTAGCATTGTTTAAATAAATGTGTTTTATTAATTACATTTACATCAATATTTTTACTCTCAAACTTGTTTAGATAAATCAAATCACTAAGCCATCTATTATCGTAAAATTATCGGGAAGGGAAAATTATAATTTTCAAGTAATTCACGGTTGTTTTATATTTGCTTTTATAAAACTTCTAAGACTAAAAAATCAATTAAAAAAAGAAAACATCATAAGCTACTAAAATCAAATCACGATGCTAATTAGAAATTGTTCACTTGCTTATAATATGATAATAACTATTTATATACAATACTTTTACCTTAAAGGTGGTGAACATTTACTAAATAATTTAGTGAAGGCAACAATCTATGATATAAATTCTAATACAATGTATTAGTTAGATAAACCAAAACGACAGATAGATTTTTACTTTGTTTTATTGTTGTTTCAGCTATAAAACATTCATTTAGATGAGATTAATTGTCTCAAATATACAATTCGTTTATTTATCTTTGTTAACCATGATTTTAGGTTGGAATAACTATATAGATTTTTCCGTATGAACCAATTAATTACATTACTTACTTATTAAAAAAAATATTATTACTAAAAGATATGTCGAGTGTGTCTATTTATTATTATAAATATATAAAATTCCAAAAATGTTATTTTTTAGATGACAATTACGATACATCCTTTAAAGGAGATGCATATAAAGTGGAAATGAAATTGACGATCAATCGTGTAAAACATACTGACTTTGGTACTTATCATTGTGTTTCCAAAAATCCTCTTGGTGCAACAGATGGATCTATAAAAGTTTACAGTAAGTCAAATAAAGATAGTTAATACGGTATGCAAGATTAACCTTTTGGAATCAAATATACGTTTTATCACTTAGCCTCTGAGGCACATCTTCAGTCACAAACCTTACTAGTCTCAATAACAATTCAGAATATTAAATACTTTGATATCTTAACCGTAATACATCAGAAGATATTCCAAACGATTCCTCTTCAACTTGACATCCATTCCCTAAAAATAAATAATAGCCTCTACAATAACTATGTACACAACAAAAAATTGAAATAACACTCTGAGTGGAATTATTTCATTTTTAAATATTATATAGTTTGACTAGCTTTAATATAACTAATCAATGATATAAATACTCAAATTATATTAGTTCTCCTTCATTAATGTCAGTTGAAAAGAACTTGAAAAGGCCGTCTCCTAATTTCGGTATAATTTAATAAACACTAAAAATTGTATTGTTTAATTAGAAAAAGTGGTGTCAGACAAAAAGAAACATAATAAAATAATACCTTCTTAGCTCCGCACCGAAGCTAAACAACTTTTTAGTAGTACATATAACAAATTGTCATCATAAACTTGTCATTTAATAACTAGAAGCAGTGGTCTATCCAAAAAAAGGCTAAAACGGCTAAACCCTCTCCATTGTCCTTGCTAAACCAGCATTTTAGATAAAAAAGTTACTTTAAAAACGTCATGTCTAGGGCATACCTTAGTTTTTTTTATTAGCCCCGCCCATTGAAAATCTAGGGTATGCCACTGGCTGGAAGAACCAATAATATCCAAGCTTAAGGCATATTTTCAAAATATTAGTATCTCCCACAATCCAAATATTTTTATGGAGGAGTGAGAAGGAGTCAAAACGATGTGGTGTAGAAGCTCCCCATATATCAATTACTAAGACATATAAATAGTGAATGGAACTATAATAGGGGAAATTTTTCGTTACACTCATATTTATTAATACCTGTTTAAATACTAAAATTACTTACAATATTAAGTAGTATTATTATAATACTTAGTTTTAATTATTTTACAGAACTTCCAGGAAAAAATTGGAAATGGAACGATTATCAAACTTTTCCCACGGCTTCCGACAACAGCCTACTATACACAGGTACTAGATACAGTTATAAATTATTTAAATAGAAAAACAAGTATCATACAAAATTCCAAAGAATATATTTTATCAATTACTAACAATAACAATAATATTATCAAAAAAGTTACCACATTTGTGTATGAGTAATGTATAGGCAAACGCGGATTAGTTAGGCGTGAAATCAAGATAATTTCAATGTGCCAGCTTAAATTAGGGGCTGATCGTAAATATTTGAATCTATTATATAGTATCTTATTTCCAATATGACATAGTGCATATTTAAAAATATATGTATACATATATATAACTCATTATAAACGCTAAAACTGGCAATTTAACCCGGGTATCATTTTTAATTTTGTCAGTTATAAATTGAAAATAAATATAAACATACTAATATAAATATATTCATCTAATGAAAAATCTGATCCTAACGGTAACAAGTCTACTTTAAATATCGATTCATTAAATTTAAGAAAACTATTGCACGAAACAAATATTTTTCTTGCAAAAATTCTTATCCATTTTATATCCAAATTTAAAATATTTAAAAATAATTAAAAAAATGTTCATTTTATTATTTAACCAGGATCCTCATCAAGTATGAATAGCAACAACGGGAACCAAAATTTACACAAAAGTCTTCGAATATCTTATGTCATAATATATATTATTTTTTTGAAATTAAGTAGCATTATTTAATTTTTGTGAATATTAAGATGTATTTCAAGAACAGGGTATAAATAAAAACACTCATAGGTTTTTTTAACATTCATTGATTTATTTATAACTTTAAATATTTCATACATAAGTTACGCCTAAGCACGGGCTCAAAATTAACAAAATTTCAGTATCGAGAATACTGAATTACTACTTCTTATTCTAGTTCATAAGGATAATATACGAGGTGTGACTATTAAACAACTATACTGATGCTACTATTACCTCATATTGCGAATGTGCCGTGACATATATGAAGATCGCTGTCTGGTAATGTTTGCCTCACTATAATCTTATAGAACTTTCTATTGGTTAGTTATTTTGATTTTAACTACCGTTTGAATTAAACTATATAAACCAGTGACTCATCGATAAAATGCAAAGTGATTAAATATAATAACGGGTTAATATCACATATTATGTTAACCTGAGTGAAATTGCCATACAAGTTTATATGATGTTTAAATAAGTGTACGAGAATAACTATTTATCCAGCATGCAAGTTTTATATAGTTTAATCATTTTAATCAGGAATTTAAAATTATCCACCTCTTTAACGACCTTTAACATCACTAACGTACGAAAACATTGAAAATATAGTTAAATAATCCACCAAAATCGTTGTCTAATTAACCAAAGACTTGTTGAAATAACAGGAATCAACAAAGTAAGATCTTGTTAGATTTTGTTTAAATCACTCAAATTCTGCAAAATTGGTGTCAACATTTCCAACTCCTGGCTCAATGTACCACTCCATTTTGTTATGTCTATGAGCAGGTTCCATGTAAAATACGACTGTCTTGTAACAATCTGTCAATTTTAATCGATCTTTTCTTAAGTGACTTTTATTTTACTGTCCAAAATTAAATTGGAGTTAAATAGGACAAGATTTGGAAGATGAAAGCAGTTAAAGTAAAAGCCACAAAGGTCCTTAACCTACTGTCGGAAGTAAACTTCCAATGCTGCTTTCAACATAGAAAAATTGTATGAAATGGTAAAGGGAAAACTGAGGGTAGTATCATAGATAAGGTTTATCTTATCAGTGGTAGTATATTGAGGGCGATAAAGTTTATGGCTTAATTGATAACGAACAATTAATGATATGACATCAGTCTGGTTATTTAATAGCCACGTCTCAAAAATGGTTTTCTCGTGGTAATTTTGTATTAAAGAGATACTTGGAACCTTAGACTACTGTTTTCCTCATGCTTGGTATTCATGTATATTATAATACTTAAAAACTTATTTTATTACCGTTAAAACCTCTAATTAAACTTAATAATATAATTTTGATAATCTAACACATATAGGCGTATTTAGATGTTTTCCTAGAAGAAACGACTTAATTTATTTTCGTTATAATAGACATACTAATTTTGTTTATAACATAGTTAAAAAAAGTGATATTATAAATTTAAAGGTTTTGTATACTAAGTCTAAAAATATTATCGAATTTAAGTCCAGCGAAGTGATAAGTACTAAGGGCATCGCGCTTCCTGTTATATATGTCTACACACAACTACTTAGAAACGTATCTTTTACGTTACAATTTATCTGTTACAAAATAATTTTTAGGCCTTATAAGGGTTACAACCTATACTATGTCATATTAATAACTTAAATATTTTAAAACATAATATGATTTAACTATATCATAAAATAGACTTAATATTCTCCCTCATAAAGTTATTTAGATTATTTTACACATAATTTTTGAAGATTAAACATTACTTTTGAGAGCGTTAATCCCCGCTTCAAAACTGAGCTAGTGAATACAATTACTCAACATCAATGGAAAAGGTAAAAACCTGAGAAGCATTGAGATCACTTGTTAATTTCTAAATAAATAAAATATTTTATTGAATTAATTCGTAGAATTAATAATATAAGTGTTATAAAATAAGAAGTAAACTATAACATATTTATACATTTTCTTTTTTTTTAGCTTATTTAAAAATTGTCAATCAAAATATTTTATATAATATAATTATAGTTTTCCTTTATGATAATGACACATTGTTATTAGTTATTGTGTAAATATAATTATGTAATTATAAAATATGTAACATTTAAATAAAAATAAGTTAGATAATTTTAATATTAATTGCCATTTTTGAAGGATCAAAATGTTTAATTTATTATCTTGATTACTTTTTTGATTTGGACATCATTGTAGTGTTGCTAGTGTTGCCATTATATAGTATTTCTATAAGATAATAGAAACACAAATTTATTCATAAAACTAATTTTATTACTTTAAGCCAATGAAATATATTTTGAGTATACCCAGTGTAATTTAATACATATGTTACTGTTTTTTCATTAGTTATCAATATAGATTTTTAACAACATAAAAAAATTACATTTGTTAAAAATTATGATTGAATTTGGATGAAAACAATAAATGCAAAACTAAAATAATTTATTTAAAGAAGTAGTAAACAATTTATTAAATTAGATACTTAAATAATAATAAACATCTTTTGAAATCTTAGACAAATTTAATAATGTTTTAAGTATTTAGTAATTTAATGATAGCCATTAGTTACTTAATGATAATCCTGCAAATTCTTCAGCTATTTTTACAAGTTCTTCTACATTTTTAATACTTGCACCAGATGCTTGAGCTGAGTCTGCCTTACCACCACCTCTTCCATTAATTGAAGCAGCAACTTTTGTTACCCACTCATTTGCCTTAAGTCCTTTGGTATTTAGATCTTTAGAAACTGCACAATGACAAAATATTTTATTACAAGATTTATCTTCAGAAATCAACATAATAGCAATATCTGGCATGTTAGTTTTGATTTGTTTTATGGCAGTGTCTAATGCTTTTGTGTTGGATCCAGCATCTAATTTGCAAACAATCACATTTTTATTTGATTCAGAATTAATTTTATCTTTTACTTTTTCTACAATTTCTGCAGCAACAAATGCTTGACGTTTACGTTCTTCATCAGCAATACCTTTTTTCAGTGTTGACAACACATGTCTTAATTCTTCTTTTAACCAATAGGGTATAACAGATTTACTTAATTTATCTTGAGCTTCAGTTATAGATTTTGATAAATTTGAGTCTTTAGAGCTGAGTTTCATTATTTGTTTTTTCAACTCTTCTCCTCTATTGAAAGCTTTAGTAGCTTCTGAGCCAGTAAGAGCTACAATTCTACGAATACCTTTAGCTATAGCTTCTTCAGTAATTATAACAAAGCGTTCCATATGCCCTGTTTTATGTAAATGAGTTCCTCCACAAAATTCTACAGAAGTTTCTAGTCCTGCTGATCCTTGTGGTTCTGAGAGTAATTTTTCAATAGATACACCAACTGAAACCACTCGGACAGGATCTGGATAAGTTTCATCAAACATGGCACGTAATCCTTTAATATTTTTAGCATCATTTAAGGGTGATATTTTAGCATATACAATATCATTACGATCAATAACAATATTAGTTAATTTCTCAACTTGAGCAACTTGATCTACTGTCATAGCAGATTTGTTAGTGAAATCAAAACGTAATCTATCAGGAGCAACTAGTGATCCTTTTTGATTTGAATTCTCTCCTAAAACAACACGAAGAGTATGATTAAGAGTATGTGTAGCTGTATGATTATTCATAACTAGTCTTCTTCTTTTTTCTTCAATTTTCAAAGTTACTTTGTCTCCAATTTTTAATAACCCACTTTCTAAAATTCCTATGTGTAAAATATATCCAGCACGAACCTGTACATTTTTAACATAAAATTCAGTGTCTTCATCTTTGATCACAGATCCTTCATCATATATTTGACCTCCTTGTTCTGCATAAAAACATGTTTTATCTAATAATATGCCACATTCTTGCAATGCACCTACTTCATGAACAAACCCATTATTATTTCTTATGCTCAAAATTGTTGATGAACAGGTATCAAAACTATATTCAGCACTTGGTCCATCAGACACAGCTCTATAATTATACTTAGGCGAATCATCAGTTGATGGTACACCTTTGTTTTGTAATTCTGCAATTGAGTGAACATCTAATGAAACAATTTCTTTGTTGTCACCTGCTTTATTTTGACTGATTATCTGTGCTTTTTTTTTTGCTTCCTCATATGCTTTCATGTCAATAGAAAATCCTTTTTCTTCAACCATTAAATGTGTTAAATCAACTGGGAAACCATAAGTATCATATAATTTCCAAGCAACTTCTCCAGGAATAACTTTTTCAGTAAGTTTTGAAATCGTTCTATTTAAAAGGTTACGACCTCGAGACAATGTTCTTAAAAATTGTTCTTCTTCTTCATTAATTATATCAACTATCATTTGTGGATCTTTAAATAACTCTGGAAATGTATCCCCCAAAATATCTACAACAACTTGAACAAGTGAAGCAAAGAAACCAGGTTTAGCATTTAATTTTTCTGTAGCATAGCGTACAGCTCGTCTAAGAATACGTCTTAACACATAGCCTCGACCTGTATTATCTGGACGACCTCCATCAGACAATGCAATAGTTAAGGTCCTGGCATGATCAGCAAGCACTCTATAAGCCATATCTTTCTGATCTTTATCCTCTATGCCTACTTTACCTTCATAAGGAGCTGCATTAGTCCCACTCTGAATAGCTGTAAATAATGGCTGAAATATATCAGTATCATAATTAGAGCGCTTATCCTGAATAACTGAAACAAGACGTTCAAATCCCATACCACAATCAATGTGCTTTTTGGGTAAATTTTTTAATGTTCCATCTTTTTCACGATTAAATTGCATAAATACAAGATTCCAAATTTCTAAAACATCAGGGTCATCTTGATTAACTAAATCAGCAGCCAATCTATTTCCAATACGATCATAATGTATTTCTGAACAAGGACCACAAGGACCAGTCTCTCCCATTTCCCAAAAGTTATCTTTCATATTACCTGGAATTATATGACTTTCTGGTAACCCTAAATTAAGCCAAATATTTTTACACTCCAAGTCAGGTTCAAGTTCAGCTTTCTTATCGCCACCAAAATAAGTTACATATAACCGATCTGGAGATAGTTTAAATTCTTGAGTTAAAAACTCCCAAGCCCATTGACATATTTCTGTCTTAAAATAATCACCAAAAGACCAATTTCCAAGCATCTCAAAAAATGTATGATGGTAAACATCTTTACCAACATCATCTAAATCATTATGTTTTCCACCAGCACGTATACATTTTTGAGTATTGACTACTCGTAACCATTTTGCCATGTCTGATGAAGGATCAACTGTGCCTAAAAATATAGGTTTGAATTGGTTCATTCCAGCATTAGCAAATAATAATGTAGGGTCATCCAATGGCACAACAGATGAAGAATGAATATATTCATGACTTTTTTTATCAATGAAAAATTGAATATACCTTTCTCTTATTTCTTTAGCTGTAGGAGCCATTTGTTATTTAAGTTAACTCACAAAACAATTCTAAAAATAAAAAAATGTATGAATTAAACGATTAAATAGTAACAGCATAAATATTTTTTTTACTATTAATATTTAAATAATAAAATATATATATATATATATAAACTAACTGTTACACGATAATACAGATTTAAGTAATAATTAATAACAACTCTTATAACTGTTGAAGTTACAGGTATATGAAACGTTGCGTCAAAGCAACGTGTTCACTTGAAAATAAGAAAGTGATAGTAATATCAAAAAATTATATAAAAAGTTTTACCTTATCTGTGGTAACACATTATAACCCCACTCACAACAATCCAACAATTTATTTGCAGTCTTTCACTACGTCGTTATCAATGAACCCTCCTTAATATTATAGATAAACCATCATTATAAAGGTGTTGGATACTCAGTATGGTTTATTTACGGATAGCAGAAAGATTTATACTAGTTTCTCACATTGAATCTAAGACATAAAACTATACATTAAAATTATATTTTTATAAATTATTTATTGAAATTTACTTATTAGTTATCAAAATGTATTCTAATCATTCAACTGATCCAAGGAGACCAGATAGAGAACATAGGTAAATTTTAACATAATAAACATTACAAAAATTTATCTATTTACGAAGTATTTCTATGCATAATTTTTTTAATAGATACAAACCACGATTAGTAAACAATGATTCACAAGCATTGACACCTGGTGAAGATTTAACATCTGATTATATGAACATACTTGGTATGATTTTAAGTATGTGTGGATTATTAATGAAAGTAAGATAAAACTTATCTCGATTACAATTTTAATCCTTTAAAAAATTAGAGAGAATAGTTATAATGAATTTAAAAATTGCCAGGTATTTTCCTTTTAATACTGTATACTCTATATGATCTCTTAATCTTTCTAATTATACAATATATTTAGAGTCTTTACATCTATTAACTTCGATGTGAAACTAATAGATTTTACCACTTTTTCTCAGCTCTCACCGAACCAATTTCTTTCAACCGTACGTCAAAATATCACAAATCGTACCTAGTCGAAGACATAACTCTCAAACTTGAAAAAAATTCCCTCATTCCCCGTAAATGAGGGAAATCTCAAAAAAAATTACAAATTGAAAAATCGCTATTTTTTGACATTTTTCCAATTTTTTTTACTAAAAACTGCCATATCTCTTAAAAATATCCAAATCAATATAATTTTTTTGTAGTTGCACAATGTCATTACCTATCATTTGATATATTTTTTTTATAAATCTGACCCTTTATCTGCCCACAAGGGGGATTCAAAATGATAACTTTTTCAACTTAACTTTTGAAAGTGTTGCGGAAATACTGATACTTTTATATATACCTTAAAGTAAAGCTTATGTAAATTACTTAATTATGGAAAAAAAAATTTCGGACTTAATTTTGTCTTCACAGTGAAAATAGTTACCAAATGCTATTTTTGTGTGAAAATTCTGGATTATATTTTTTACATTTTAAAATTTATAAAGCTTTAACTTATTGAAAAGTGTATGGATCAATAGTTTTTATATGAGAAATAATATTTATATACCTCTTTCATTCAACATACTTTTTTTTTTAAATTAAAACAATTTCCCTTTAAATATTTGTATATTATAAATATATTTATTCATATATTACAATTATAAATCATAAAGTTTAAATCAGAATATAAATAAGGAAATAGGAGATCATATAGCTTTTGGAATAATCCATCAATTTTTTTTAATTAAACACCATCTACAGATTTGCATCAAAGTGTTTTTTATGTTAGAGATTTCAATCTCTATCAGATATCATTATACTTGACAAAACTATGTCACGTCCTCACTGTGCTTTGACCCTACTGTGTTGGATTTTTTTTTTTTAAGTTAAAGTAACTATTTTCAATTTATAATGAGAATTTTTGTGTATATAAAACTTAAAATAATTTATTGATTTATACCAAAATTAATAGATTTCTATTAATTTTTTTTAAGAGAAATACTTCCTCAAAAAAGTTATTCTTTTTATTTTCAACCTATAATATTATAATATATTTAAAACTAAAATAATTATCTATTATATCATTTATAAGATTATAAATCATTATTTTAGTATTATGTGATTTTCAACATAGTATTTCATGTTAAGTCACATTTTATAACAGTAAACAGTATATATATTTAATGAAATTAAAAATTACAAGTTAGATTTATGATATGTAAACAAATTATTACCTATTACTGTAGGATTAACTATGAAAAGTTTTTTAATTTAATTTTAGTTTAAATGGGCTGCTTGGTGTGCAATGTTCTGTTCTTGTATAAGTTTTGCCAATTCAAAAGCCTCCGATGATAATAAACAAATATTTAGTAGCTTTATGTAAGTATTATTTTAATAATTGTTTCTTTTTATGAAAATGAATTGCTTATTTTATCTAAAAAAATCATAGAAAATTATAAATACATTTGTTAAATATATTTTATTTAATAAATTTATGCGTTTAAGAGTTTTGTATCTTATCTAAAATTATTTATCTTATAAACCTAAATTTAACTTATTTAAATATTTAATCATTAATTTAAAGAAGAGTTAGAACTTACAACCTTTTATCATCCATAAATTAATGACTATTATCATTTGGATAAATTAGTTTTGTAATTTTTCAATTACTTTTTATCAAAAATCGAATCTAAAGATGTTACCTTAAGGAAAATTAGCTTCTATGTTTTTTGTTTTCAAAGAAAAGCTTCTTATATGTGTTCAAATTAAGCTGAATTTAACAAACTATATATTATACAAACTTATCATATATTAGATGATACATAGTAAGATAAAGTCAACCAAACAATATACTTTCTTAATTAATAATAAATATAATGAAAAAAGAAATATTTGTAATTATTTGAAAATATTGATGTCTAATTTTTTTACAGGCTTTCTATGTCTGCAATTGTAATGTCTTACTTACAAAATCCACAGCCTATGATTCCACCCTGGTCAACAAATTTTGGTTAACCAAATCTTTATTGGTTATAAGGTTTATTATTCGCTTTATTTTAATTGTATTAATGTTATTTCATATTTATATTTATTATTTAAATTGTTCACAAATAAATATTTTATATGGATCTTAAAATTATTAAAATGTATACAAAAATTTTTAATATAATAATTTATCAATAAAAAAAAATGTCCGCTCATAATAATCGTCCTCTACAATAAGCTGATTCGCAATGACATTTCATTACTTTTCCTGGAACACTACCTATTTCATAACTGTAATCCCAAGTAAGTTCTGAACCTGCAGGTATATAATGTAATGCGAAAAAAGACACCCATGGAAATCGAAGATCATGTGTATCAACAAAAACATTTTGTACAAATGTATTTGGATTACATGAATGGTTTAAGTAACGCCCAATGTTACCACTACTCTTTGCATCCATTATATAAACGCTCTCATTATCACCATAATAATCACGAATAGATTTTGGAGGCAAACGATTATTCTCCATTGCAATTGCATTTAATTTAGAAGGAACATGACTACCATCTTTTTTTGTTTTGGTATTGTCAGTCTTTGTTTTTCGTTTACGCAATCTTGATATAATATTAGATACACTGTATTCATCTTCTAAAAAAAAAATAATAATATAAAATAATCAGAATGTGTTGTATTATTGATGACATTTAAAAAAAATTTTTTGCTAAAATTTATACAACTTGATAAAACATGGTTTTTTTAAATAAAAACTAATAGTAATAAAGTACTCTATGTCATAAAAAATATAGCTTAAAAAACTGTTTTTCAGTTTTAAGCCATAAATGTAGTTAATTTCTCACAATTTTTTTTTCCAATTGATTAGTCTTTTTTACACTAATTACAATTCTGTAAAAATGAAATATTGGTGTAATAAAATAGTTAAAAAAAACTGAAAAACACGCTTTTTAAGCATATCGAACTAAAAAGTTAAAAATAATTTTAAAAATGACCTTAAAACAATAATGAACGAAAAATACTAATATTATTGTGAAAAAAAAAGCGTCGGACGCTCAATATACGAAAAATATAGCACAAAGCCCCCACGCTTTTTTTCACAATAATTCTAGTATTTTTCGTTCATTATTGTTTTAAGCTTATTTTTAACTTTTTAGTTCGATATGCTTTAAAAGGGCGTTTTTCAGTTTTTTTAAACTATATTTATTTTTTACTTTTTAGTTTTTATAACATTTCTGTCACAGTCACGGAGTGTTTATTGTAAATTATGACTATCAATAGATATAATTTCTGTATTGCCAGTTAGTGTGTTTAAAAACTCACAACAATGTGTCTTATGACCATTGATAATAAAGGCTATAAACCTGCGAATATCGTCATAAAAAACCAATTAGCTACCTGTATTTGTAATCCCTTGTGTATTATACACGTATATTAACTCAAAAAAATTTGAATCTTTAAATGTTTATATCTAATAATAAACAATAAAAATTTGTTTATATATATAATATTGATGATGCACACGCTTGTAAGGGTACGAAAACCAAAAATAAAATTATATAGGAATAGTGTTGCCGCCGTGGGGTGAATGCATTACAACAGTCTAGTCTCAAGGTCATAGACAACGGAATACGCGAGAATAATAACACGTGTCGCGTTGAGAGTTACAAATAACAAACAACATGTAATATATATAATTATATGAAACTAATATAAGCGTGTTAAAAATTGTATTATTTTGTAAATTTATAGAACTTTTGTTATACTAATAAGATAAACAAATGTTTATTATTTTAAATGCCACCTCTCCATTGATAGTAATATTCAAATTATTAAATAGTATTACCCGTTGTGGTTTGAAATTCTTCATCAGATGAAGCTATTCCTATTGATGCATAACTTTCATCATCATCTGTGGTTTTGCTTTCACTTTCTGCATCACTGTTAGGTACATCACTTTCATAGTCTTCTTTGATTTTTTCTACTACTTCAATGTAATCTAATTCTGCTAAATATTCATCTCCATAATTTTTTCCTCCTTCATTAGCATCAGATTCAGTAAGTAAATTACCCACATATATACATATAAAACTTCCTTGGGGAATATCATTTAAGCATCTCACACCCCAACCTTTTTTTTCAGTTGCAAATAATTGTAACTTTTGTGAAAGAGGATTTTGAACCACACGATTTATACAAGTACTGGAGCATTTACAAGTTTTATTACACTCGTAAATTCCTGTAAGAACTCGTTCTGGCAATCGCCTGTAATTATAACCAATATTGGGATCTTTATACAGATTTGGTAAAATCTTCTGACCATCAATTGTCATCTGCCAACAAGCACACTTAGACTTATCTTGACAATTGTCAGTACAGTCACATCCACATAAGAAACTGCTTTCAACATTAAGGTTAACACCAGTTTTAGCACGTCTTTCAGTTATATAATCCATATTGGGGGGTATTTTATGATTAATATTATTAACACAGGTTATTGGCCTAAATTCTTTCCCTCCAGACAAATCATGAAGAAACTTAATTGATTTTAAAACTTTAAATTCTACTAGAGGGTTAACCCAACTATTAAAATCAAATTGATCAACAGTCATTTTACTCTTAGTAGATAAAAGATAATCATGCATTTCTTTCATGTTTCTGATAGTACGACCACACGGTGTTTTGTACATAACACACTTTTGGGTGCTGTTAAAATGTGCAATATACCTTACAAAACCAAAATAAAGAGGAGTAGCTAACATACTTATTAACTTTGTTTTGTTGTAATCATATTCAGTCCACTTAATGCATGAAAAATTGCAATTATGGACAATAAATGTTTTTGGGTGTGGGATACTTGCAGGCAATAAAAGATTAGTAATTTTAAAAATATCTTGATTTTTTCCAGATTTAACTTCTTCATCACATTGAGTTGTTGAACTTTTAGTAGTACTTTTTCGAGCTACACTTTTAACTATATTGTTTGTATCTTCCTCAATACTAGTGTACTCAACAAAAGGTTTGTTTAGGTATGCTAAACCAGATTGTCTAACACGAATACCTTTCTCAGATTTTGTTTGTTGCTCAAAAATATTCCATAATCTTGAAGAGCCTCTATACATCCATTCACTTTTTTTGGTGTCCATAAAATATAATTTAACTAAAGAAGCATCTACTTCCAGTACTTTTGCTAACAACCATTGATTTTGATTTTCAGCTCGGACAAAATGTTTTTTATTTAAACGAACCATTTGGCGTTCTGGATATTTTTTTAAGTACTGATATATAAATTCTTTAGAATCTTGATGAACATCATTCCATACTTGAGAACACTTATGTCTTATTAAACGTATATCTTTATGCTGTCTGTATTGAACATAACCATCATCAAAAAACACCATATATCTAAAGACAAAAACATAATTATTTATCAATTTATTTGAAAATCAATAAATTATAAATTATATATTGTTATAAAAATATAAACTTTAATTAAATCTAATTTTATTTGAATAAAGAATTTTTCAGAAAAAAAAAGTACTGAAATATCTCTTTAAATTTTATTTTAATGCATATAAATTATCAATGTGTAGATTCTTATCAAAATAGAAATGTAAATTAATTATTTTATACATTTAACAGCATAATACTAACAGGCTAGTTTTAAATGCTAAATGATATCAATAAAAATAAAATGCAAAAAACTCGTTTTCCAACAAATTTTATATATATATATATATATGACTTTTGCCCTTTTACAAAGTGATCAGTTTATCATAAATTACTCAATTACTCTAAAAAAAAATACATGTATTTTTAAATTTATCAACTATAAATACTTTTTTGGATTATCTCTTATAATGTATGGGAGTGTTAAGAAAATGACTAGTCAATAACAACTTTTAGACCAGTACTTTGGATGTTATTTCATTTTTATACATAGGCGGGATAAAGAGTACGGCAGGAAAATAGCTAGTGATAAAAATAGTAACACCCAGTCATTACTTTAAATTGTTTATAACTTCTGAAATACTGGTAAAAAAGTTGTTATCGACAAGTCATTTCCTTAATTTGATTATTTTGTATTTTATAAGCTAGTTAAATATGTATGTTACCATTAAAAAAAAATAAAGTTGACATTTCTTTAAGTTATAAGGGATGATTCTAAAAAGTTATTATTAGCTAATAAATCAAGAAATAAATGCAACTAAAAAAAAATCAAATTTTTTTTTCCTATATTGTATTAATTTTATGAATAATTAAGTGGTATATGATAAACTGATTACAAAAATATCTAAGGTTCTTACCTAAATTGATTAATAAGATTAGGTGGTTCAGCAATAACTCCAGCATAATAATAATCACAATTTGTAGAATCTTGATCAGTAAATTTAGAGATAACTCTACTTCCTACGGGGAAACGTACTGGGTTTTCATCAAAAGAAGCTATAGCTTTATTGGGCAATAATTTTTCCTCATCTTCAAACTTTGCATGCACATAATCATCACTAACAACTGATTTTATTTTACATTTATACCAAGGCTGTATTAAGGTAAACTTCATAGCATATACAACTTCTCCTTCTTTAATATGCGGATATTGAAGTGGACCTTCATTAGGTAGGTCTGCTGGTACACTACAAATAGTTCTGTTTACAGCAATAATATCTTTATCATTTTTTTTCAAATCATCAATAACGTCAATATGACAAACTTGACTAGTTATAGGTTGATACGGCTTGTATAGCTCATTTCTTAAAAATGCTATTTCATTTTCTAATTCTGCAGCCATATTTTCTAGATAATTTACCTTAGTAGTACAATCATGCACTGATTTATTTATATAATTATTGCACTTTACAATTTGATCATTTATAATTTCTTCGTTCATTTCAAAATATAAGTCTAAGGCAGCATTAACTCCAGAAACTATATCTTTGGATGGAAAATAATTATTACTTAAGGAATTCAATGTTTCATCTTCATCATCAGATTCAATAACACAATATGAATCATAATTTGGGAAATGACCATCCATTATGCATTCACCTGCTTTCATTTTAGTTTCCAAGTTTTTGAAATGTTTTAAACATTTCTTTAAACATATTACACATACCTAAAAACATATGCACATTCAATCCAAGTTATTTATTACATTATTTTATTATGTAAAGATAATTACTTCTCTGTTAGGTTTATATTCAACATGATAATAACTGCAAACTAATTCTATTGCTTTTGAAAGCCCTTCGCCCGATTTACATCGTCTATTTACACAATTAACTTGTTTATCACATAAAGAAGTTCGATTCTTTTTAATGGACGCCATGCTGCATCACTTTTTCCTTTTATGTGGAATACCTATAATTTTCTAGTTTTAACATAAGGTAACAACTGAAGTATTTAAATAGCTAATACTTAGGTTAAAGAGCATAATAGTATTTAAAATATAATAAAAACATTTATCATTTCCATGTATTTATAATTGAAATAAATTAAGATATGATTCGACAATCACTTTCAACACTTTAATATTTCCAGTTATCGGCCAACATTCATTATTCTAGCGCCGGGTTCTTATCTAAATTGGTTTAAATCACATACCAAATACTAGTTACCATTTACCGCTTTAGTTATAAGGGTAGTATTAGAGTTTATATTATATTAGAGATAAATAATAAACAACATATATATAATATATACATGTTGATTATTATTTATATATAACATATACAATTTAAGTATTTACAAGAAACCCTTTAAGTTGTTTTATAAGTTGTATTAAGTTAAATTATATCAGCATATAATTTTTTTTTATTTATCGCTATTTAAACTGTAGTAATTAAACCACAATGGGGTATCTCCAACAAATATTCATTTAAATAGCCTCACGGATGTGAGAGACTCGTCTTTATATGTGTAACATACAAAAAATATGAGGAAAACAAAAGATTTTTTTTCTTCGTTAAAAATTAATAATTCTATAGTCAACTAAGAAAAAAAACCAGTACACTTGAAATGAGGCATAGTAGAAATAGATTACTAGATTTAAAAGTGATTAAAATCACTATCAAAAAACGATTTAATGCGAATCTGTAGATTGTGCTTATTTCTTTAGAGGCCTTTTGGATTATACCATACCAAAATTAATACAGTAGGACGATGTCTTATTGTTTGTAACTGATGCCGCGCCGTACATGAAATAGTCTGCTCGAATTCAATCTTTTTATACAAAAATGATTCATATCAATTGTTTAGCACAATCGTGTAGCTGAAGAAATTCGTTTTCAATTCGAAAATATTGACAATTTGGTGGCTAATGTAAAAAAATATTTCGTAAATGCACATATCTAGTAAATATGTTTAAAACTGAAGCCTCTCATATACCATTAGCTCCAACAATCGTCATTACGCGGTGGGGAACTTGGTTAACAGCTGCGTTGTACTTCTGTACACATTATGAAATTTTAAAACGCATAGTTGAATCATTTGATGAAAATGATTCTGTAGCTATAAAAAATCCAAACATATATTTGAACTCCAATCATTAGAGGCCAATCCAATTTACATTTAATCAAACTTTGATTGCCTGCTGTTAGCGATCACACGACTTCAAGAACAAAGTATTCCATTGAATGAAGGACTCGAAAAATTTATGAAATTAGAAATTAAAACATTATTTAAATTCAAAACAATTTGAAAAATGTTTTAGGTAATAATCTACGGTATAATATTATTTGTAACATTTCTAATGTTTTAAACGGCAAAGAATATGACCTTAAAAATCTAAATCTACCTGAAGAAATAAATGGGAACGATTTATTGTATTTTAAATTTTATTCGTCAGACGTAGAAAGATCATTTTCAATCTTTAAAAACTTATTAGTCAAAAATCGTCGATTTTTTAAGTTAGAAAACATAAAAAGAACACTGATAGTACAATGTAATTTTCATGGTTAATGTTTTAAAAAATCGTAGTTAAGTAGGTATTTATATACTCAAATGTTTCAAAACTTAATTATTTCCATTTTAATAATCTCATTATTATGATTGAAAATCAGAAAAATAATTAATTTTTGAAGATTACTAAAATGTTTCAAATTGTGTTAATTTATACTTATGATTTTTACTAGTTTATAATTTTTTACTAAAAAGTTATAGTTTATAATTAAAAATTATACATTTTAAATATTTCTTGCTCTTTCCAAATATTTTAGATTTTTAGTATAGGCGTCGAATGGGGTATACAGGGAGGTTAAGTCCCTCCCCGAATTTACAAATTAGCCTTCCAAAAATTTAGCAAAATTATATGTATTTTGTTATATAAAAACTATTTGTGAAGGGGAAAACTAAATTTAGCCTTTCGCCCCAAAATTTTACTACTTTACGCCCATGTGTTTAGTGTATATTTGCATGCTTTTTTTTAGTTTTTTAGTGCAAGAACTTACGAGCTCTGGTTATCACATAGCTTGTATAGTCAATGAGAAGGTTGTATTCACTATAGATTTCGTATATGTTATGGTAATATGCGTACTGAGAACACACGGTATCATCATTATCATCAATATCCTCCCGTTACAAGAACTTTTCTAATGACCTCCATTGATCTATTACAATAGTAAACAAGAAACGGTCATCGTAATGATGACTTTTGGAGCTTAATTCCTGCAAACTAACAGAAGATTTAAAAATATAATAATTATTATATAATTACATGACAATATAACACAACAAAATATTTTAACAGTAAACAACAACTACACAAAAATTGAGTTCACAGACAATTGTATAAACAATCGGTTTAAACAGTTTTCTAGAAAACAAATATCACACTTAATGAATAAATGAATGAGTTAAGTTAATATCACATCATTATCATGTAACTTAAAATACAAAATTAGTTAATTAAATGAAAAACTATATTATCAATATATTCCTACAATTTATTAGCAAAAATTAAAGTTCTAAATCTGACTAGCAATAAAATATAAGATATACTATATCTTTAATACTTGAGAGAATAAATGTTATAGTAAAATAATTATTTAACTATAATTATCTCAATAATAAAAAAATATATATTTTTTTTTGTAATAAGCGCCAAATTATTAAATATCATTAATTACACACTAGATAATAACACAATACAATAATGCGAATGAATAAGATTTAATTATAAATCATTAATAGGATTTTTCTAATTAGATTAAACTCTTTTATTAGGAAATGTACCGCCGACATTTATAACATCTCTTAATGGAAAGTGACGTGTGTATAATTTTCACTACGTACACCCATTATTTCCAGCACAATTTGAAAGAGATACCTAACGTACGTACCTATTTAACAAAACATTTTGATTTAATGCATTTTTCAAAAAAATATAGTTGTTCAGATAAAATAAATAATTTCGAAATAAAAGTTTGTTTTTGTGTATGTTACCACTTTTTCTCAGCTCTCAACAAACGGATTTCTTTCAACGATATGTCAAAAGATCACAAATCATATCTAGTTGAAGACATTACCCTTAAAAATTGAAAAAAATTTCTTCGTTCCCTGTAAATGGGGAAAACCTCCAAAAAATTTACAAATTTTTAAATCGCTAATTTTCGAAATTTTTAAATTTTTTTTACTTATAACTGTCATAACTTTTTCAAAAATGAACAAATCAATATAATTTTTATTTTATAGATACTTGATGTTTTTACCTATCATTTGGTATATTTTTTTTATAAATCTGACCCTTTATCTGTCTACAGGGGGGGATTTAAAATGACAACTTGATCACAAAAAATTTACTTTTACACTTAACATTTGAAAGTATTCCGGAAAGTTTGACACTTTTATATATATCTTAAATTAAAGGTAATGTAATGTATTTTATTATGCAAAATAAAAATTTCGGACTTTATTTTGTCTTCACGATGAAAATGGCTTCCGAATGCTATTTTCGTGTGAAAATTCTGGATTATATTTTTTACATTTTTAACTTTATAATGCTTTGACATATTTAAAAGTTTATGGATCAACAAAATTTTTTATGAGAAATAATATTTACATCCCTTTTTTATTCAACATACTTTATCTTAATCAGGATATTAATAAGGAACTAGCAGATCATGTAGCTTTTGGAATAATCCACCAACTTTTTAAAATTAAACATTATCTAAAGATTTGCATCGGACCGTTTTTTATGTTAGTGATTTTAATCACTGTCAAATATCTTTACACTTGACTGAACTATGCCACGTCCCCACTATGCTGTGTTTTTTAAAATTGATACCTATATTCTGGGACTAAAACCTAACCAAAAAAAATGAATAAACCGAAACTACTACCGGAATGCAAATCTATGGAGTTCTTAAAAACTAAAACATATGAGTTACTGGTCTAGTTCTAATAAATTTAGTTACTGCATTTCGTAATTATACATTTTGGTATAAATAAGTAATTTCTGAATTTATTTAAAATAAGTCTCGTGGTGATAAATTTTGTAAAAGGCTTTGACTTTACTGGTCAATAAAATGATTCTATTAAACGCGATTTCTAACATTAACTGTTATTGCCAATTAATAATATCATTTAGAAATTAACTATGTATTGTTCATTAGTAATAATTATTATTTTAATTTTAAATTAGAACTATTATGACTGGGTATTTAACAGCTGATATGCCTCTTTGGATAATAATATTACTTTTGTAGAATTTTTTATTTATGAGCTATTTTATTTTAATAACTAACGTATAATGACTATTTTATTTCAAATGTATCACACATTTTCAACAAAAAAATGTTTAAGTATAATTTTATCTCTTTTACTTCTAAGTGTGCTATTAATTCATAATTTTACACAATTAATGATGTCGTAATTCACAACATATTATACAACGTAATCTAACATTTTTATGCATCGGCAATGTTTTTTATTAATCAACCTACTAAGTAATGTATGTATATATTATATTTATTGTACTGACATAATTGTGAATGTTAAAAAAAAAATTGATGAAACATAGTTTTTTTATTTCTATTAATTTAATATTATTTCTTACACATATTTTTCTGTCAGAATACTTAATTCTTTTACCTGCCAATTCAAAGTAAAATTGATATTTTTTTGAATAGCTCTGCCTTTTTCATTTTACGACAATATTTAAAAAATAATTTTATGTAATGTTTTATACTAATTCATTACTAAACAAAAACTAACTACTTTCAATGGCGTCTCGAGGGTGCATGGGGAGGATGCGACTTTAAATATAATACCGCTAGTCATAGATATAAAAAAACCCATCACAGTGGGGTCGCGGCACAGTGGTTGCGTGGCATAGTTGGATCAAGTATAATGATATCTGACAGTGATTAAAATCACTATCAAAAAAAAAAAACGCTTCGATGCAAATCTGTAGATAGTGTTTAATTTTAAAAAATTGAAGGATTATTCCAAAAGCTACATAATCCGCTAGTTCCTTATTAATATCTTGATTAAGATAAAGTATGTCAAATAAAAGAGGGATTATTAAAAAATATTATTTCTCATAAAAAAATTGTGTTGATCCATACACTTTTCAATAAGTTAAAGCATTATAAAGTTAAAAATGTAAAATACAAAATTGAGATTTTTTTCACAAAAATAGCATTCGGTAACTATTTTCACCGTGAAGACAAAATAAAGTCCGAAATTTTTATTTTGCATAATAAAATACATTACATTAGCTTTAATTTAAGATATATATAAAAGTGTCAGACTTTCCGGAATACTTTCAAAAGTTAAGTGTAAAAGTAAATTTTTTGTGATAAAGTTGTCATTTTAAATCCCCCCCTGTGGGCAGATAAAGGGTCAGATTTATAAAAAAATTTACCAAATGATAGTTAAAGACATCAAGCAACTACAAAAAAAAAATTATATTGATATGTTCATTTTTGAAAAAGTTATGGCAGTTTTTAGTAAAAAAAATTGAAAAAATTTCGAAAATTAGCGATTTTTAAATTTGACATTTTTTCGGAGGTTTCCTCCATTTACGGGGATTGAGGGAAATATTTTCAATTTTTGAGTGTAATGTCTTCGACTAGATACGATTTGTGATCTTTTGACGTGTCGTTGAAAGAAATCCGTTTGGTGAGAGTGGTAACAGAAAAAAAAAAAAAAAAAAACTAATCATTGTAAAAGCAATACCTTCTCAGCTTCGCATCGAAGCTAAAATTGTCAAAATAAAAAAAATAAACTCAGTACACATATTATTATTTTAAAGGCTGCATTAGAAAATAGAAATCAAAAGAATAATAATAGCGATTATACAGCTATTATTATTCTTACCGATAACGACTAGCGT